GCTGTGTCAGCATTTTCAACGCATTGAAATTAAAGGGAAAAGAAGTGGGAAAGTGCCGGTTCTTTTGACTCCTGAAATGATTGCTTCGATGGAGGTGCTGGTGGAGAACAGAAGGGCCTGTTCCATCTCTGACCATAACCCATACTTCTTTTCCCGCCCGGGCGCAGACACCCACATCAGGGGATCAGACTCCCTACGCCAGGTAGCCAAAGAATGTGGTGCGGTGCATCCAGAGATGCTATCCTCAACCAAACTTAGAAAGCACATAGCTACTATGTCTACAGTTCTCAATATGAAAGAGAATGAAATGGACATACTTGCCAACTTCCTCGGCCATGACATTTGCATCCACAGACAATATTACAGACTACCAGAGGGGACACTGGAGCTGGCCAAAATCAGCAAAGTGTTGATGGCCATGGAGCAGGGAAGAGTGACGGAATTCGAAGGAAAGAGCCTCGACCAGATACAAATTGAGCCTGAAGGTAATTCTTGATATTATTAAAATATGTATGATTTTTTTCCCCTAAAGGCCACTTGTATTTTTATTTTCTGTGCGACAGGGAGAGCAGTAGAGATCCTCTCACAAACGGACGGGCTAAAAGAAACTTCAAGCGGAGAACCTTCAACCATTCATCCAGATGCACCCCATGGTAGTGGCAGTGCCCCTTCTGGTAAGTGTACCAGGTGGGGGATTACAGCCAGGCTGCTTGGTCCTAACCCTGGGAGTGTATATTGCTAATATATTTTTATTTCTCTCCCTAGAACGTGTAAGAAAGCCATGGTCTGCATCTGAGGTGAAGGCTGTGGAGAAGACCATGACACCTTTCATACAGACTGGAAAGGTCCCTGGGAAGTCTCACTGCCTGGCCTGGCCTGGCCTGGCCTGCATTAATGCCTCACCAGATGACCTTAGACATCGGACATGGAGTGGCATTAAATTCTATGTCAAAAATAGAATCACTGCAATTCGAAAACAAAATCTAAAATAAAATTCCTTTAAAATAGTTGTTTGGTTTCTATTGACTGTTTTGTATTACTTAAAGTAGTCCCAGTAAAAAAAGATTATGTCTATGGGTCCCATTCTGAACGGCCCTGTCAAAGGGACCCACCAGGTAACAAAAACGTGTGTGTGTGTGTGTGTGTCTGTGTGTGTCTGTGTGTGTGTAAGTAATATTTATTCATACAGCGCCTTCCACAGTCACATGGTTGTCCCTGGCTCCACAGAGATGGGAGCGGGGCCTGTGCACAGGGGCCTCATGTCAGACCTATTGTACATGTTTTAGTGGCAGTGAAAATCGGAGCACCAGGAGGAAACCTACACAGACACGGGGAGAAAATGCAAAACTCCAAACAGAAAAGTCCTGTCTGAAGATGGACTCAAACCCAGGACCTTTCTGCTGTGAATCACAACTGTTAACTATGCTGGTCTCTCTCTGGTCCCTCTCTGGTCTCTCTCTGGTCTCTCTTTGGTCTCTCTCTGGTCTCTCTCTGGTCTCTCGCTGGTCTCTCTCTGGTCCCTCTCTGGTCTCTCTCTGGTCTCTCTCTGGTCTCTCTCTGGTCTCTCTGGTCTCTCTCTGGTCTCTCTCTGGTCTCTCTGTGGTCTCTCCCTGGTCTCTCTCTGGTCCCTCTCTGGTCTCTCTCTGGTTTCTCTCTAGTCTCTCGCTGGTCTCTCTCTGGTCTCTCTCTGGTCTCTCTCTGGTCTCTCTGGTCTCTCTCTGGTCTCTCTCTGGTCTCTCTGTGGTCTCTCTCTGGTCCCTCTCTGGTCTCTCTGGTCTCTCTTTGGTCTCTCTCTGGTCTCTCTCTGGTCTCTCTCTGGTCTCTCTCTGGTCTCTCTCTGGTCTCTCCCTGGTCTCTCCCTGGTCTCTCTCTCTGGTCTCTCTCTGGTCTCTCTGTGGTCTCTCTCTGGTCCCTCTCTGGTCCCTCTCTGGTCTCTCTCTGGTCTCTCTTTGGTCTCTCTCTGGTCTCTCTCTGGTCTCTCCCTGGTCTCTCTCTGGTCCCTCTCTGGTCTCTCTCTGGTCTCTCTCTGGTCTCTCGCTGGTCTCTCTCTGGTCTCTCTCTGGTCTCTCTCTGGTCTCTCTCTGGTCTCTCTCTGGTCTCTCTCTGGTCTCTCTCTGGTCTCTCTGTGGTCTCTCTCTGGTCCCTCTCTGGTCTCTCTCTGGTCTCTCTTTGGTCTCTCTCTGGTCTCTCTCTGGTCTCTCTCTGGTCTCTCTTTGGTCTCTCCCTGATCTCTCTCTCTGGTCTCTCTCTGGTCTCTCTCTGGTCTCTCTCTGGTCTCTCTTTGGTCTCTCTTTGGTCTCTCTCTGGTCTCTCTCTGGTCTCTCTCTGGTCTCTCTCTCTCTCTGGTCTCTCTCTGGTCTCTCCCTGGTCTCTCTCTCTGGTCTCTCTCTGGTCTCTCTCTGGTCTCTCTCTGGTCTCTCTCTGGTCTCTCTCTGGTCTCTCGCTGGTCTCTCTCTGGTCTCTCTCTGGTCTCTCTCTGGTCTCTCTGGTCTCTCTCTGGTCTCTCTCTGGTCTCTCTGTGGTCTCTCTCTGGTCCCTCTCTGGTCTCTCTCTGGTCTCTCTCTGGTCTCTCTCTGGTCTCTCTCTGGTCTCTCTCTGGTCTCTCTCTGGTCTCTCTCTGGTCCCTCTCTGGTCTCTCTCTGGTCTCTCTCTGGTCTCTCTCTGGTCTCTCTCTGGTCTCTCGCTGGTCTCTCTCTGGTCTCTCTCTGGTCTCTCTCTGGTCTCTCTCTGGTCTCTCTGGTCTCTCTCTGGTCTCTCTCTGGTCTCTCTGTGGTCTCTCTCTGGTCCCTCTCTGGTCCCTCTCTGGTCTCTCTCTGGTCTCTCTTTGGTCTCTCTCTGGTCTCTCTCTGGTCTCTCTCTGGTCCCTCTCTGGTCTCTCTCTGGTTTCTCTCTGGTCTCTCGCTGGTCTCTCTCTGGTCTCTCTCTGGTCTCTCTCTGGTCTCTCTCTGGTCTCTCTCTGGTCTCTCTGGTCTCTCTCTGGTCTCTCTCTGGTCTCTCTGTGGTCTCTCTCTGGTCCCTCTCTGGTCCCTCTCTGGTCTCTCTCTGGTCTCTCTCTGGTCTCTCTCTGGTCTCTCTCTGGTCTCTCTCTGGTCTCTCTCTGGTCTCTCCCTGGTCTCTCCCTGGTCTCTCTCTCTGGTCTCTCTCTGGTCTCTCTGTGGTCTCTCTCTGGTCTCTCTCTGGTCTCTCTCTCTGGTCTCTCTCTGGTCTCTCTCTGGTCTCTCTCTGGTCTCTCTCTCTGGTCTCTCTCTCTGGTCTCTCTCTCTGGTCTCTCTCTCTGGTCTCTCTCTCTGGTCTCTCTCTCTGGTCTCTCTCTGGTCTCTCTCTGGTCTCTCTCTGGTCTCTCTCTGGTCTCTCTCTGGTCTCTCTTTGGTCTCTCTTTGGTCTCTCTCTGGTCTCTCTCTGGTCTCTCTCTCTGGTCTCTCTCTGGTCTCTCTCTCTGGTCTCTCTCTCTGGTCTCTCTCTGGTCTCTCTCTGGTCTCTCTCTGGTCTCTCTCTGGTCTCTCTCTGGTCTCTCTTTGGTCTCTCTTTGGTCTCTCTCTGGTCTCTCTCTGGTCTCTCTCTGGTCTCTCTCTGGTCTCTCTCTCTGGTCTCTCTCTCTGGTCTCTCTCTCTGGTCTCTCTCTGGTCTCTCTCTGGTCTCTCTCTGGTCTCTCTCTGGTCTCTCTTTGGTCTCTCTCTCTGGTCTCTCTCTGGTCTCTCTCTCTGGTCTCTCTCTGGTCTCTCTCTCTGGTCTCTCTCTGGTCTCTCTCTGGTGTCTCTCTCTGGTCTCTCTTTGGTCTCTCTCTCTGGTCTCTCTTTGGTCTCTCTTTGGTCTCTCTCTGGTCTCTCTCTGGTCTCTCTCTGGTCTCTCTCTGGTCTCTCTCTCTGGTCTCTCTCTGGTCTCTCTCTCTGGTCTCTCTCTCTGGTCTCTCTCTGGTCTCTCTCTGGTCTCTCTCTCTGGTCTCTCTCTCTGGTCTCTCTCTGGTCTCTCTCTGGTCTCTCTCTGGTCTCTCTTTGGTCTCTCTCTCTGGTCTCTCTCTGGTCTCTCTCTCTGGTCTCTCTCTGGTCTCTCTCTCTGGTCTCTCTTTGGTCTCTCTCTCTGGTCTCTCTCTCTGGTCTCTCTTCTTGTCAGCAGAAGCATTATTTTCTCATAATTTTTGTCAAACTATAATAAATGTTGTTTGAAAAAATAAAACCACATGAAATCCTTTCTCTACATGTTCACATTGATCCAGTGAATCTTTCGTTGGGATTTGACAAACAATAGTTGTTCTTTGGGTTAGAACTCAAAACATTTTATGAAAGGCTTCAAATGGAACTGCCCTGAAGATTTACTCGGAACAAAATGAGACTTTTAAAACTCTTTAAAATAAGAATTCCCGTTGTATTCACACAAATCTGTGAAGAACCTGTGTCTCAGACTTCTACAAACACAGACATCGACAGAATCATACATTTGTTGGGTCGTAGCCCATCGGTACAAAAGGAGATCAATACTTTTCAAAAATAGGCACAAAAACATTTTATAATTTCAAAACGTTTGGCTTTTGTTTCAATTGTTTTTGCGGCGTTACTTTAGACAATAACAAATATAAACGCATTGACAAAACTATTATCTGTGCTTTTTTCTAAATACTTTTCTTAATCATCTGAATATTGACGACTCATCGAGTTGTATCTTGGGTTTCTGTAAATGTAAACAAATGTGTATTATATGTGTCTGACCAGTGTGTGTTTGTATTCTCTGGTGCAAAATGTCAAAATAGTTGAAAATCTTTGTGTGATTTGACTGGCCCGGCAGCGTGTTAGCCAAACCGCAAACATAGACACAGAAATGTTTCTCAAAACCATTCAATAATCCATTTCTTTCACCTCTAAAACTACTTTTACACATAGATATTATATTTATATCTATGTGAGCACCGGTTTCCCACACCCCGCTGCTCCCCGCTCCCTCGCAGTCCATTGTGACCTTTAGGCTCGTCTAAACTTCACTGGACAAAGAAGCAGAAGCCTTACCGTATGAATCCTGTCAAATTGGACCATCCACGGCTCCAAAGTCCTCCCGAAGTCCTCCCGAAGTCCTCCCAAAGTCCTCCCAAAGTCCTTCCAAAGTGCTGGTGCTCCTTTGCAGAGCGCGGGGGGCAGAGTGAGGCTGTGGCGGGCCCGTCCCAGCCTGGAATGGCCGTGGAGCCGTGGTGTGTGGGAGAGAGCAGAGAAAGGCAGAGAGAAGCTGCTGAGATGGAGTGGGATGATGGGACAATGCCGGCGGCCCACCTCTGCTGTTATGGAAATGAAGAAACCGAGGTTTGGCCTGGCCCGGGCCGGGTCCGGACGAGTCGAGACGGAACAACTACTTCCAAAAGTGTTGTGTTGCTTTTTTTAATGATTTATAATGGGTTTAAGATGAAGAGATGCTTTATTGGTCTCACAGCGGGGAAATTTCAGTGTTGCATTGCCAGGTGCAGAACAGTAGGCATGAGGAGCACAAGCACAAGATAAGTCTGTTCTAAAATAAAATAAAATCTCCAACTTTGGCAGAATAAAGAAGTTTAAATCCTGTGTATTCTAGAGCAGAGATATAGTGACAGTGGACAGAACAATGTCTAGCTTTAGCATAACAAAGAAGTAAGAGTTACATGTATGCAGGAGGATGTTCTACTTGTGGGTGGATCATCAACACTATTGGTCCTCCCAACTGTCAATCATTCTGGTGACACGTGCTCGTCCAACAAGACCAGAGAGTTTTTGGAGAGGGCGGTTCTTTCCTAAAACTTGTGAAAATCCTCCCACTGACCTATAGCTATAAAAACTTTGACTTTAGCAAAATAAAGACGTATAAATGCAGAAATATAAAGTAGAGTCACACTGACATTTGTGGTTCTGTATTCTGAGTAAAAATGCAGTCATTACAGTTCTCTCGTTTGTATTTGTGTACCTATGTCTGTGTTTCTCCGCAGTATAAACGTCAGTAAAGGGCCGTTACTTCCTGGTTGGACATGAGCCGCAGATTTACAGATTACTTCATCAAAACATGTTGGATTATATTGTTACAGAAAGTATTAAAAAACTGTTCAATGAAACAAGAAAGAAACGGTAAATGTACAGAAAAAGAGAAACACGTCCCCCCAACCCTTCTGTCTGTGCGCTTGTTCTAAAGTTGTTACACTTAAGCCTCATTGCCACTCAACCTTCCAGGGTAGGTTAGGTTAGGGTAGGGTAGAGTAGAGTAGGGTAATATAGAGTAGGGTAGAGTAGAGTAGAGTGGAGTAGGGTAGGGTAGGGTAGGGTAGAGTAGAGTAGAGTAGAGTTGGGTATGGTAGGGTAGAGTAGAGTAGAGTAGAGTAGGGTAGGGTAGGGTAGAGTAGAGTAGAGTAGAGTTGGGTAGGGTAGAGTAGAGTAGGGTAGGGTAGGGTAGAGTAGAGTAGAGTAGGGTAGGGTAGAGTAGAGTAGAGTTGGGTAGGGTAGGGTAGAGTAGAGTAGAGTAGAGTTGGGTAGGGTAGAGTAGAGTAGGGTAGGGTAGGGTAGAGTAGAGTAGAGTAGGGTAGGGTAGAGTAGAGTAGAGTTGGGTAGGGTAGGGTAGAGTAGAGTAGAGTAGGGTTGGGTAGGGTAGAGTAGAGTAGAGTAGGGTAGAGTAGAGTAGGGTAGGATAGAGTAGGGTAGAGTAGAGTAGAGTAGGGTAGGGTAGGGTAGAGTAGAGTATAGTAGAGTAGGGTAGAGTAGAGTAGAGTAGAGTAGAGTAGGGTAGAGTAGAGTAGGGTAGAGTAGAGTAGAGTAGGGTTGGGTAGGGTAGAGTAGAGTAGAGTAGGGTAGAGTAGAGTAGGGTAGGATAGAGTAGGGTAGAGTAGAGTAGAGTAGGGTAGGGTAGGGTAGAGTAGAGTATAGTAGAGTAGAGTAGAGTAGAGTATAGTAGAGTAGGGTAGAGTAGAGTAGAGTAGAGTAGAGTAGGGTAGAGTAGAGTAGAGTAGAGTAGAGTAGAGTAGGGTAGAGTAGAGTAGGGTAGGATAGAGTAGGGTAGAGTAGAGTAGAGTAGGGTAGAGTCTGATTAGCCTCAGGGATAATGCTGATTTAAACAGGTCTAATCTGATTCCACAGATTGAATAAAGACCCGTGTTAACGATCAATGTTCAACACAACACTATGTGCTCTGAACACAGACACAGAGAGAATACAGAACACATGGTACTGGACCATAAGGAGAGACCATGTGGTATTGGACCATAGGGAGAGACTACATGGTATTGGACCATAGGGAGATACCGCATGGTATTGGACCATAGGGAGAGACCACATGGTATTGGACCATAGGGAGAGACCACATGGTATTGGACCATAGGGAGAGACTACATGGTATTGGACCATAGGGAGAGACCACATGGTATTGGACCATAGGGAGAGACCACATGGTATTGGACCATAGGGAGAGACTACATGGTATTGGACCATAGGGAGAGACCACATGGTATTGGACCATAGGGAGAGACCACATGGTATTGGACCATAGGGAGAGACCACATGGTATTGGACCATAGGGAGAGACCACATGGTATTGGACCATAGGGAGAGACTACATGGTATTGGACCATAGGGACATACCGCATGGTATTGGACCATAGGGAGAGACCACATGGTACTGGACCATAGGGAGAGACCACATGGTACTGGACCATAGGGAGAGGGACTGGTCTCCTGCTGGTCCCAGAGTCAGGACTAAACATGAGGAGGCATCGTTTCAGATTCATGCAGATAAAATCTAGAACAGTCTTCCTGAAAATGTGAGACAGACTTCTCTGTTTATGACTTGACTGAAAACATAAACAACTTTCACCTTTATTTAAAGTCATTTCTTCTGAGTTCAATATTTTTATTTTCTGTGAACAGCAGAAACAAAAGCTGACATTGAGGAGACGATTGGATCAAAATCATGTTTTTACTTCATCTCTTTTGAAAACTACCCAAGGCACATTTAGAACACGGAAAATGTGTAATTAACTGTTAGTTAGTCATGACATGAATGTAATTAAGTAATTAAATAATTTAATTATTGACAAAGTGCAGTGTTATTGCACTTACCCTAAAGTGCAGTGTTATTGCACTTACCCTAAGGTGCAGTGTTATTGCACTTACCCTAAAGTGCAGTGTTATTGCACTTACCCTAAAGTGCAGTGTTATTGCACTTACCCTAAAGTGCAGTGTTATTGCACTTACCCTAAAGTGCAGTGTTATTGCACTTACCCTAAGGTGCAGTGTTATTGCACTTACCCTAAAGTGCAGTGTTATTGCACTTACCCTAAAGTGCAGTGTTATTGCACTTACCCTAAAGTGCAGTGTTATTGCACTTACCCTAAAGTGCAGTGTTATTGCACTTACCCTAAGGTGCAGTGTTATTGCACTTACCCTAAAGTGCAGTGTTATTGCACATTTTCTGTGATGGCTCTTTTCTGTTTTTTCTGATGAACTATTCAGTCGTCTTAAACATTTACTACCTTTGTGTTTAAACTGTTTGGATCTACTGTAACTGTCTGTAAACTATGAAACACCAGTTATTGCACTTTTAGATTTGACTGACGTCACTATTGTCCAGAGCCTTATATTTCTAAGTCTCACAGAGAATACTCCGTTACGTTAAACCCACTAATATTTGAAACAGTTGAAACACAGCTGCGTGTGGATGATGCTCATGAAGAGGAGCGGGGCAGGGTTCCCTCCTGGTGCTCCTCGGGGGGCTGTGTGGGCGGACGCCGGGCCGGCAGATGGATGGCTGCTCCGTCTCCTCCGTAACCTCCAGCACAAACCAATTAAACACATGCTCCTCCCACTTACGCACGGAGCCGCAGCTGCCAGAGGAATTATTATAAGGTTTTAGTTTGCTTTGACGACTCTGGTGGAGTTTGCATGTTTTCCCAGTGCCTGTCAGAGGTCCTATGGCAGCAGTGAAGGATGGGTCAAATGCAGAGGACACATTTCCTATGGAGACAATAAAGTATAACTACACTTTTTAATTTACTTTTTAACGTCAATTCCTTCTTTGTAGGTTTTTATGTCATTTTGTGTCTTTTGGAGATGTGCAGCTATCTGCTATTTCTCACATTCTAAGACGTCAATACATTTTCTGAGATCCTTGGAAACACGGACAAGCACTTTTCAGCCGTGTCTTTAGCCCCGTTTCCACCAGCCCTACCTGGCCACTCTTCTCCTTGGCTCTTCTCTACTCTGCCCAGCAGCCCTGTTTAACCTGTTTAACCAGGCTTGAGCCCTAGCACTAACCAGGATGAGCTGGTACTGAATCAGAATCAGAATCAGAATCATTTTTATTGCCACGTAAGTAACAGGAGGTCACAGACTAGGAAATTGCTTTGGCTCAGTGCAACAGTCAAAAAGAGATAATAAAAATAAGAATAAAAAACGAATACATTTAAATGTAAAATAGAGTTACAGTTACTATTTACAATATACAAGTGCACATGGTGCACACAATGTAAGGTGACAGCAGTACAGTGAAGTAAAGTGACGTATGATGGGCAGTAAAGTGACTTTATAAAGGGCGGGGGGACAGGTTAAGAAGTGTTCAAGAGTCCAACAGCAGAGGGGAAGAAACTGTTCTTGTGGCGGGAGGTTCTAGTCCTGATGGACCGCAGCCTCCTGCCTGAGGGGAGTGGTTGGAATAGTCCATGTGCAGGTGAGAGGGGAGTGGTTGGAATAGTCCATGTGCAGGTGAGAGGGGTCGGCTGTGATACGACCAGCCCGGCCTCGAGCTCGGGCGACGTACAGGTCCTGCAGCAATGGAAGGCTGCGGCCGATCACTTCCTCTGCAGAGCGCACAATGCACTGTAGTCTCTGTTTGTCCCTGACTGTGGCTCCAGCGAACCACACGGTGACGGAGGAGGTGAGGATGGACTCGATGATGGCCGTGTAGAACTGCACCAACATCTGTGCAGGCAGCTTGGCTTTCCTGAGCTGCCGCAGGAAGTACATCCTCTGCTGGGCCTTCTTGATGAGGGAGCTGATGGTCGGCTCCCACTTGAGGTCCTGGGTGATGGTGGTGCCCAGGAAACGGAAGGACTCCACAGAGGTGATGGGGGAGTCCATCACGGAGGGTGGGGGCGGGGGGACAGTGCTCTTCCTGAAGTCCACAATCATCTCCACTGTCTTCTGGGCGTTCAGCTCCAGGTTGTTACCACTGCACCAGGACACCAGCCGGTCCACCTCCCTCCTGTAGGAGACACCAGGACACCAGCCGGTCCACCTCCCTCCTGTAGGCGGACTCATCGTTGTTGGAGATGAGTCCAATGAGGGTGGTGTCGTCCGCGAACTTGATCAGCTTCACGGAGTCGTGGCTGGAGGTGCAGTGGTTGGTGTACAGGGAGAAGAGCAGGGGAGAAAGAACACAACCCTGTGGGGCTCCTGTATTTATAATCCGAGAGTCCGAGACATTCTTCCCCAGACGCACTCGCTGCTTCCTGTCCGTCAGGAAGTCAGTGATCCACCTGCAGGTGGAATCGGGCACGTTGAGCTGGGAGAGCTTGTCCTGGAGCAGGGATGGCAGGATTGTGTTGAAGGCAGAGCTGAAGTCCACGAACAGGACCCTGGCGTAGGTCCCCGGGGAGTCCAGGTGCTGTAGGATGTGGTGGAGGGCCAGGTTAATGGCGTCGTCTACAGATCTGTTGGCTCTGTAGGCGAACTGCAGGGGGTCCAGGAGGGGGGAGGTGAGGGACTTGAGATGGGAGAGAACCAGGCGTTCAAATGACTTCATGACGACAGACGTAAGTGCTACAGGTCTGTAGTCATTGAGTCCTGTGATCCTGGGCTTCTTCGGGACGGGGACAATGATGGAGGATTTGAAGCAGGACATGGCAGGACTGCAGAGAGGTGTTGAAAATGTCCGTGAACACAGGAGTAAGCTCACTGGCGCAGTGTCTCAGAGTGGCCGGAGACACGTGGTCCGGGCCAGGAGCTTTGGGGGGGTGCAGCCTCAGGAAGAGTTGTTTAATCTCTTTAGCGGCTATTGTTAGGCTGGGGGCAGGGCTGATGGGTGGGTCGTTAGAGTAGTGGGGGGAGGGAGAGGTGTCAGGGGCAGCATCAAAGCGACTGAAAAATAAGTTCAGATCGTCAGCTAGCTTGTGGTCGTCAGCACAGGGGGGGGCTTTGGGTTTGTAGTTGGTGATCTCCCGTAGGCCCCTCCAGACAGAAGCAGTATCGTTGTTACCAAACTGCTCCTGTAGTCGTTCTCTGTGCCGGGACTTGGCTGCTTTCAGTTCTCTCCTGAACTGATATTTAGCTGCTTTGTAGCCGCTGCGGTCCCCCTCCCTGAAAGCAGACTCCTTTGCTTTCCTGAGCTGCCGGAGTTTAGCAGTGAACCAGGGTTTGTCGTTGTTATAGATGACCCTGGTACTTGTTGGAATGATGCTATCCTCACAGAAGTGAATGTATGACGTCACAGTGTCCGTATATTCATCCAAACTATCTGTGGCAGCTCTGAAAAGGTCCCAGTCTGTAGATTCCATGCATGCAGCTCTTCCACAGCTTCATCAGACCACACTTTGGAGCTCCTCACTGCAGGTTTCGAGAGCTTTAGTCTCTGTCTGTAAGCAGGAACCAGATGTATCATGGAGTGATCTGAGAAGCCGAGGGCTGGCTTGGGAACAGCGCGAAAAGCTCCGCGCACGGTGGTGTAACAGTGATCCAGAGTGTTCTCCTCTCTGGTCGGGCATTTGATAAACTGTCTGTATTTGGGTAATTCCAGGCTCAAGTTTCCCTTATTAAAATCCCCCAGGATAATAATCAGAGAGTCCGGGTATAAGCGTTCCATACACAGTACTTGCTCTGCGAGTGCGCGCTGAGCCTCGTGCGTGTCCGCGCATGGCGGTATGTAAACAGAGGCAAGAATGAATGAAACAATTTCGCGCGGGGAGTAATATGGTTTACAATGAATGAAAAGATATTCCAGAGCAGGAGAGCAGTGCTTGGAGATCACTGTCACATCGTTACACCAGTTTGTATTGACGTAGAAACACAGCCCACCGCCTCTGCTCTTCCCTGAGAGCGCACAATGGCGATCCGTGTGGAACAGCCCAAAGCCCTGCAGCTCCAGAGCGCAGTCCGGGATCCGCTCATTTAGCCAGGTCTCAGTGAAGCAGAGGACACAGGATGTGGCGAAGTCCTTGTTTCTTCTCATGAGCAGGCTGAGTTCGTCTTATTGCCCAGTGAGCGTACGTTGGAGAGAAAAATGCCGGGGAGAGCCGTGCTCCTCTCCTCCTAATGCCGTGTTCAGACCGATCGCGATGGAGGCGAAAAAATCGCATCAAACGCCAGGCATTTTTCGCTTGAATATTTGATGACACTCGCTTCTATCGCGGCGATTACTCGCTCTGTTCGCCTGCGGATTTTCGTCGAGATTTCGCCTCGCCGCGTCATCCAATAGGAGGAGCTTATGGCCAGTTGCCGGTTCCGGTTGTTGTTCAACTCAGCATGGCGGGCTTTGATTTTCTGGAACGAGTCACTATACTTTATTTAATGTGGAAAGCCGAACAGCGGCGGCAGGCGACGCCGTCTCTGGGTCCACGATATCCTCCAGAGACGCTCCCAATATGGGGAGTACCACCATCTGCTCCAGGAGCTGCGCCTGGATGACGGTCGATTCCAGCGGTATTTCCGTGTGTCCAGGACCCAGTTTGAGGACCTGCTGTCCCGCGTTGGGGCTCGGATCACCGTCCGGGAGACCAACTACAGGCGCTCTATCTCCCCTGCAGAGCGCCTGTCCATCTGTCTTCGGTTAGTAAATCAAGCGGTTCTCAATAAATAAGATTCCAAATGTTATAATCCAAGTACTTTACATGTAAAGCCATTGTGCCACTGTTTAGCTTTTAGATTTATGCCAAACTAATCAGTTAGTTATGCCAAACTAGACACGATAAGCTCGTTTCAGGTGGGGGTTAGATAATTAATAGTCCATTAGGTTAGATAACTAAATGTTGTTCAATGCTACGTCACTGCTCGATTCAGTCCCTGATTGGTCAACGCCCCGCGAATTGACCAAAAAGTTCAGATTTTTCAACTCGAGCGAGTAGGGCGGTGGAGGCGAAATGGCTCTAGGCGCGCGTCAAACGCCCCTTTCGCCACTTTCGTTCCGCTCTTTTCGTTCAAAACGCCCTGTTCGCCTCGCTCTACTCTCGTCATTCGCACCGCCGGCCTGTCATTCGCTCCTGAGCGCACCCGGCCATAGACATAACATGTAAATCACTCGCCCCTGACTCCTCCATCGCGATCGGTCTGAACACGGCATTAGACGCACGAGCAGCCTCCGCGCTTTCCCCTTTTACGGGCCCACACTTTTTTGGCTAGAACATGAACTAAATCAGCCGCAGATGCCAAGAAAACAGGCAATAGGTCCATGGGAACGGTGGGTCGGATGTTCATAAGTTCCTCACGGGTGTAGGAACAGCCAGATGCGCAGTTAAAAAGTAAAAACAAAAGAAAAAGAGAGCAGCAAAGAGCCATGTCGACTGTACGAGGCGCCATCTTTGTATCTTTCCTGAAGTGTCGGACTAAAGCTATGTTCAAACCAAAAGCTTCAAAACGCCTGTGACGCGCGTTGTTTGACTCTGATTTATTGTCATTTTGGTGCTTGAAGCTCCTGACGCCCCTTGACGCCCGGTGGGAGGAGCTTCTCTGTTGCCGGTATAGTCCAGAGACAAACAACGTGGTTGTAGCTTCCACACAACATGTTCTGGGTTCACCACAGACTTGAGGCTGCAGTGTTTGCTGAGTTTCAACGTTTACTCCAGGAGCTGAGTACGGATGAGTTTCGCTTTCAGCGGTACTTCTGCATGTCACTCGCCCGGTCTGAGTACCTGCTCACCCGCATCGGAGCTCGCCTCGCTCCCGCCCGGACACCAACTACAGGCAGTCGATCCCCGCGGAGGAGCGCCTGTATCAGTCTGCTGTGTCTGAGCCAGACTCAGCGTCAGCTTGTTCTTATATTGAATAAATAACTTTTACTTCACAGCATGTTTACATTTATTTTGTTACTTTTAAAGTAACAAAAGTGTTCGCAGACAGGAAGTACCAGCGTTAGCATCAGAGGAAAAACACTTCCTTTGCAGCCGTACGACAGATCGACTAAACTCATGCATCTGAAATGTAATGAACGCACGTTCATGCAGCGGCGGTGGGAACACAGCTTCACACATCGAGAATACGTAAAGAAGAGTAGAGTTGAGCTGAGTAGGGCTGGTGGAAACAGGACTTTTGTTACTTTGATGGAGCAAAATAATATTGTTGGCTCTCATTTTTAAAATGTTTGTGCCTAAATATTTTTTGGTCCTGATATTTCAAATTCTTACACTACTGATCACAAAAAGCAACTATGGACTGTTATACATAATTTTAAAGCTAATTTCTCAAGAAAAGAACAATTTGATCTTAACCAATGAACTCAAAAAAATTGAGAATATGTGTGACCTGGACAAACATCTGTGTGGACCATGACTGTCGCCCCCTGCAGGACACTCTCTGCTCTGGAGAGAAGCTTCAGTGAAAGACTTATCCACCCTCCCTGTGTCAAGGAGATGTCCACAGCTCAATCAGTCAATCTTTATTTATAAAGCGCTTTTCATACAATAAAATGCAACACAAAGTGCTTTACAGCTGAGTCAAAATCCATACAACATTCCCAACAAACCCCAAAGACCCACCCATAAACCACCCTAATTAATAGATATACATCGAGATGCATATACCGGTGCACACACACACACACACACACACACACATTTTTGTTACCTGGTGGGTCCCTTTGACAGGGCCGTTCAGAATGGGACCCATAGACATAATCTTTTTTTACTGGGACTACTTTAAGTAATACAAAACAGTCAATAGAAACCAAACAACTATTTTAAAGGAATTTTATTTTAGATTTTTTTTTCGAATTGCAGTGATTCTATTTTTGACATAGAATTTAATGCCACTCCATGTCCGATGTCTAAGGTCATCTGGTGAGGCATTAATGCAGGCCAGGCCAGGCCAGGCCAGGCCAGGCCAGGCAGTGAGACTTCCCAGGGACCTTTCCAGTCTGTATGAAAGGTGTCATGGTCTTCTCCACAGCCTTCACCTCAGATGCAGACCATGGCTTTCTCTAACGTTCTAGGGAGAGAAATAAAAATATATTAGCAATATACACTCCCAGGGTTAGGACCAAGCAGCCTGGCTGTAATCCCCCACCTGGTACACTTACCAGAAGGGGCACTGCCACTACCATGGGGTGCATCTGGATGAATGGTTGAAGGTTCTCCGCTTGAAGTTTCTTTTAGCCCGTCCGTTTGTGAGAGGATCTCTACTGCTCTCCCTGTCGCACAGAAAATAAAAATACAAGTGGCCTTTAGGGGAAAAAAAATCATACATATTTTAATAATATCAAGAATTACCTTCAGGCTCAATTTGTATCTGGTCGAGGCTCTTTCCTTCGAATTCCGTCACTCTTCCCTGCTCCATGGCCATCAACACTTTGCTGATTTTGGCCAGCTCCAGTGTCCCCTCTGGTAGTCTGTAATATTGTCTGTGGATGCAAATGTCATGGCCGAGGAAGTTGGCAAGTATGTCCATCTCATTCTCTTTCATATTGAGAACTGTAGACATAGTAGCTATGTGCTTTCTAAGTTTGGTTGAGGATAGCATCTCTGGATGCACCGCACCACATTCTTTGGCTACCTGGCGTAGGGAGTCTGATCCCCTGATGTGGGTGTCTGCGCCCGGGCGGGAAAAGAAGTATGGGTTATGGTCAGAGATGGAACAGGCCCTTCTGTTCTCCACCAGCACCTCCATCGAAGCAATCATTTCAGGAGTCAAAAGAACCGGCACTTTCCGACTTCTTTTCCCTTTAATTTCAATGCGTTGAAAATGCTGACACAGCTTTTTCTCAAGTTGGGACAGTCCCAGAGCAATGTCAGAATGGATCCCAGTCTTACTTCTTAAGGTAAACGCTGTCAGTGGCATCTTTGAAACCTCACCTTCCCTTCTTCGATTGAAAATAATGACCTCACAAAGAGTCAAAACTGCCAGTTTAGACCAATGCTTAGACGTTGGCTCACTTATTAGGGTTTGCACATATTCAGGTCGACATACCTCAATATGTGCATGCATGGCTCTAACGTCCTCAGTCAGAGGGAGCAGGTCCGGAGTGTTCCACTTGGCTTGCCGGAGGGTCTGTAGGGCAGCAGAAGAAACACAGACGTCCCACCTCTTCTCAAAAAGCAGCCGGCTTCGTTGGAGGTTTTTAATAAATAGTTCATCAACACAATGCTCCATTTTTGAGTCACATTCAAGAATATCTGCTAGCTTTCTGAGGCTATGGCCGAGTTTGAGGGCCAAGGATGGAGTCTTGTATTGATTTGTTTCCTCATCATATCCAGCCACAGACCTGACTGCATCAATCACATGGTTAAAGTTGGAAGGAATAAAGAAATCCTTAATTGTTTTCAGTTTCCCTGCAGTTTTTGCTTCGTTAATTAACCTACCGACTTCTCTCATTTTCTGCCTAATGTAATCATGCTTAGTCTTATCATGCCCGTGTTTTAAGTACAGGTGTCTCCGAGTCTCAGAATCCCCTTTTCTGCTTTGACAACACCCGTGACCTCATCCTGATGCATTGCCCAAATTAAAGACCACAGCTTTTTGCTGATGCCCTCCGGTACAGGCTGGGCTAGGGAGCAGAGGGACTGGACCCTACTTCTACCTGGTTTAGCCTGGTTTAGCCTGGGCATCTTTCTGTGAAAGCCGGCACCTGGCCACATGCCTCCACAGCCACTTTCGCTTAAGCAATGCTCCACAGTCTATACAGTGCAAAAACTCACTGGATTTAACTGGGGAATTTGGCTGTTTAGCTGGGACTAAAGTTCCAATGCCGGCCTTTAAAACCTCAAAATTGTGCTCACGGTTTCCACTATTCCTGATCAAATCAAACTGAAGTTTACGTGCTTTAGATTTCACAGGTAGAGCCAATGCTCTGGCTACGTCACTTTCATTTCCATGTTTTCTAGTCAAATGACGGGACATTTTGTGGCAGGACATTGAACAGTAGAGGCAGAAGTGTCTCTTGCTGTAAACTCTCCCCCCATTTTTCTTCTTTTTCAGCTGCATGATAACAATCTTATTTGCCTTTGGTTCGTCACTTTCCGAGTCTTGAAGAAAAGTGTTTTTGATTTTTCTTTTTCCATACTTTTTTACAGGTTTCTTCTTGACAGTTAAATCGTCAGAATCTGAGTCGACTTCATCAATTAGGGACTCTTGACTAAGCTGCACAAACAACAAATAATTTGTAATCATTCTATATAACAATTTGAAGTCATGACTTGTAGTCAGCACTTACCAGTGGTTTGTAAGCGTGCGCTTCAGTGTGCTGCTCCATGATTGGCTCCAGCCTGCTGGACTGAAATTGCCCCAGTGTGCCCCTCCTTGATAATCCCTTCCCCTAAAAACTCACAATGTAAATACTGAATGAACTGTAGATATTTTAACATACCTTTGACCCTATTTATCTTGTTTTTCTGATATGATGTAAATTATTAAATAACAATTTATTGCAACTCTCTTTTTACTGTGTATTTAATCTATTACACTTTATGTCACTATTACATATGCTCCTGTCATGGATCTATAATAATAACGGCTCCTGTTCTGTAACTTGTGATGCAATACTGAACTGTCCCCTCTCCAGTAACTTATAATAGAAATATAGAAAAATAAGTTTGTGAGCTTCAAACAAACGCTACACATAATGACAAATTATATTTTACTTTTGCCGACTGAGGGAGTAATGTTAGTAAAGGGAACTATCTGTCATCTCATCTGTAAATAGTAAATACTGCAATCATGTATCACAACCATAGACTGTAACCAGACACAAAGCAATGTTGCCATCTAGTGGTGCAAAACTAAGTACTTCATAAATACTCTTCGCTCTACGCGTCTTTATTAAAGTCTGTAAAAAGTCTAAAATGTTACTGACAAAATCTCATCAGAGGTAAATCTTAGTTGGAAAAGAAGTACGACGTAGGATCAGGAAAGAAGCATGTTTATTATTTTGGATTCAGCCTGGGTTCGTTTTTGATCATTTTTATTATTATTTCACGGAGTAAGAAACATAATCAATGCTACGAAAAAAACATATTTCTAAAACAGTATACATTATGAGATTAAAATACAAAAAAAAGCCGCGAAGCTTGTCACTCTTTCCCATGGAGACGCTCAAAAATCTTGGTATTTCGTCCAATTTCTTCAACAAAGTCACTGTTAATAATCTTGACATCAGCTTTAACCTGATTCGACTCTAAATCACAAGCACAACATAAAACAAAAATAGAAACGCGATTAAAATAGTATATCCTCCTGCCCGGGACGACATGCCAAGATTTAAGTACGTTCCATTTCTTTCCCGAGATGCTGAGGCCGTCACGTGATCCGCCTCGTCCAATGGCGGCCTCTCTTCTGCCGTTAGTCGTGGGCCATTGGTGGAAGCAAATTTAAAAGTACTTTTCGAATATTTTTACTCACTACAGTTAGTGCGCCACACACTCGGATTTGCTTTGAGACATCACAGGATACCCTGCACTTACGGAAGACTTCTGATTAACTTAACATTAAACCCGCATAGCTAACATTCGCACTGAGACATCTGGTGGGTAGCGTTAGCCGATGCTAGCGTGGCTAAGCTAGTGGTAGAACATATTACGTGTATGTTTTATTTGTTATTGTGTTCGGGCAAGCCTTCAATGCTAACCTCTAACTACTTTATGCTAATCCAACATTCAAAGTCAGGGCTGGAATTCTCATGATAATTTCTAATGTGTATTCACTTGATTTGTGTTTTTAGGGTTGACTTTCCTGCAGAGATGACTTCTAACAACGGGGTTGCGGTGAAACGAGATGAAAAAGGTCGGAATATTCAAGTGGTGGTCAGATGCAGGTAAGAAAAGACTTTTAATGAATCCATGCTTGCTCCTGTCAGAGGCAGTAATCTTCATACGTTTTAAGAATCTGTAATCAGGGTTTTTGTATTGACTTTTACTATTACCTTAACATCTTGTACCTTTCCTAAAGCTGTCATGAAATAAGCTCCATACTTAAGATTTGCTTTTTCAAGTTCTGTGGACGAGTTGACACATAATAGTTAACTATAACATTAAATAATACAGAAACCCATTATTCGTGTTCTGTTGGCTTTATTGAGAACATTTGGCTATTGTTGTTTCGAGATATTTGTTTTCATTAGACAAAAACGGACACATTAGTTTTATTCCAAAGACATCTCTGTTGTCGGATCAACAAGGATAAGAATATAACAGATTGTCAAATACATTTTTATTTTTTATTATTACCTGTTTTATAGCTCTTTTAGAACTGGGAGAATGTTTGTTGCTGATGCAGAAGGTCAAAGGACGGTGATGATCTGGGACTTTTAAGGACATTTATGAACTTTTCTGGACAGTGGTTATTCTGTTCCCTATGGACTAATGGCTCCTATGTGTTCGCTGTTATTGCATCTCTGTAACTGTTTGATTCTTTGATCTGTTGTTCTGAGAAGACTGCTGTTGTGATTTAGGGCTATACAAAGATACACACCTACAAACATACAGCGTTGATCTGTGGCTGTAACAAGTGCCTTTTAATGATCTGATTATTGTGAATATTTCGTAAGGCTAGTGCTGTGAATACCTGTCTTACCCGATGTACTAGACTGCAGGACTAAGTTGTAATGTCCATCCATCCATTTTCTTCCCTTTAATCCATTTCTGGGTCAGGGGGGTGGCAGTCAGAGATGCCACCCAAGTCTCATAGCACCAGCCCCTCACTGACCCTCTGCAGGTGGTGAGTCCACAGGAGGACGGCTGCTCTCTGACTGTGAGCATAGCCTTGATCTTTCAGTGGGGGCTTTGGGCAAAGTGGGGTTAAGTGTCTTGCCCAAGGACACAACGACAGCAGTCATCAGTGGGAGTCGGTGGAGAAGGTGCAGAGGTCAAATTATTAATCACTTATCACCAGATGTAAGCAATGCAAAAGCATTTGAATGTAGACCTTGGCTGTTCCACAGCTCTGAGTATGTGGCATGGAACCAAAATAGAAACAGGTGGATGATTCATGACAGCTTGGAGATTCTTACACCAGACTGTTTTTTACGAGCACGTTTCAGTCTGTCGTCCTTCGGGGGAACAGTCTAAATTCAACGTCTGAAAATGACTTTTTGTGAGACTAGATTATTCTTAGTTTTCTATACTTCTGTGAGATTTCATAACACTTTTAAGCAACATTTGTTAAGGTTAAACTCATCATTCTATCAATGTGCAGAAGCCTGTACTTTTCCCTTGTTGTGTCTATCTGAAGGCCAAGCTACATGGCACTGTGGCAGCTGCTGATTGGAGGTCTCCATGCCAACGCTCTGTATAATACACTTGCATTCTGTTGTTCGTGTTGTTCGTGCTGTCTCTACCATCGACAATAAAACATGTCTTCTGTCTGAATGAAAGACGCGACCCCAGACATGTCATCTTCTTCACTTCCTACTTTTACGTCAGCATTTGCAGCCGTGTAACTGCTTAAGTTTCCTGTGTGTCACCTCCACAGCTGACCAGAGAACCACACAGTGATCATCTCAGCTTCTTTGTTTGAGGAAGTAAACCTCAGACATCAGGGTTTCTGTTCTAACATTTGAGAGAAGGATAAGTACTTCTCTAATACCAAGATGAACTAGGAAAAGTACTTCATATCTCTGGTACTGTGAAAGTAAAGGCACGGCTGATTACCAAAATATTAATTAGTGGAGGTGGGAAAGTATCGCAATATTTTGTGAGCAGAATTAAATCAAAATGTTTTTCAATATTTAACACTTGTTAAATTGTACTAGTGTTTTCTGAGTTTACTCTGGTCATTTACAGCCGAGGTTTCTGTTCTTCTATGTCCGCTTGTTGTGACTCTATGTCTGCTGTGACTCTGTCTGCTGTGACTCTATGTCTGCTGTGACTCTATGATGTCTGCTGTGACTCTATGATGTCTGCTGTGACTCTATGATGTCTGCTGTGACTCTATGACGTCTGCTGTGACTCTATGACGTCTGCTGTGACTCTATGACGTCCGCTGTGACTCTATGACGTCCGCTGTGACTCTATGACGTCCGCTGTGACTCTATGACGTCCGCTGTGACTCTGACGTCCGCTGTGACTCTATGACGTCCGCTGTGACTCTATGACGTCCGCTGTGACTCTATGACGTCCGCTGTGACTCTATGATGTCTGTGACTCTATGATGTCTGTGACTCTATGTCTGCTGTGACTCTATGTCTGCTGTGAATCTATGTCTGCTGTGACTCTATGATGTCTGCTGTGACTCTATGATGTCTGTGACTCTATGACGTCTGCTGTGACTCTATGACGTCCGCTGTGACTCTATGACGTCTGCTGTGACTCTATGACGTCTGCTGTGACTCTATGATGTCTGTGACTCTATGATGTCTGTGACTCTATGACGTCTGCTGTGACTCTATGACGTCATCTGTGACTCTATGTCTGTGACTCTATGATGTCTGTGACTCTATGACGTCTGCTGTGACTCTATGACGTCATCTGTGACTCTATGATGTCTGTGACTCTATGACGTCTGTGACTCTATGACGTCTGCTGTGACTCTATGACGTCTGTGACTCTATGACGTCTGCTGTGACTCTATGGTGTCTGCTGTGACTCTATGGTGTCTTGTCTGTAATAAGGCCCTCCTCAGAGTTTGCTTCATGTTCTGTGTCCTCAGACCGTTCAACACGGTGGAGCGTAAGTCTTCTCACGGTGTGATCGAGTGTGACCAGAGCAGACGGGAGGTGCTGGTGCGGACGGGAGGCCCCAATGACAAGGCCACCAGGAAGACCTACACCTTTGACATGGTCAGTCCTCAGTATCTGCTCCTGGTGTTTACTCTGACGCTGGAATACAATTTTAATACAACATCTGTAAATATGAAGCTCCCTGATAACAAATAAATAACAGATTATATCCTTCTCCTGAGTTCTCTTATGAAAGAACATTTCCCACTGAGGGACATGAGTGTTCATGTCTGCAGAGTCAGACCTAAAGCCCCATAATGCATCAGGAGAATGTTCCCAAACTGAAATCTAGCGCCCTGTCTCAATACCCACAATGCACCCTACACTCCTACCAAGTGTGCATTTGTTTGAGTGGCAGGTTACAAGTGTGCAACAAAGGCAGAATTGGGACAGTGCACACTGACTGTAGGTTACGTCGACTTGTCAGAGATGGTCATTTTCAAACCTAAACTTTATAAAAATTAAAGGTCATATCGTCCGACCCTTTGGGAAACAAAATGAGTTGCTCCACACACGTTAAAATAAATGTATATTGTTTTTCGTAATTTGAGATAGCTGTATAATTTTAAAGTTAAATGTGGGTAACTAACTGTTTTCTGGTCAGTTTTTATACATCTTAACTTCATTGTACTAAGTTTAAATTAATGTTATATGAACGCTTGCATTAAAAAAGTTATGAAATTGTTCGCATAGAATGTCCGTAAATACAAATCACTGATTCATTAGACATTTATTTATTTTTTCCATGTAACATAGCAACACTTATTAACACACAAACGGCATATATATTTAGTATATAGTATATATCTAAAGCTTATTTCAAAACTTACACTTAAATGCATTTTCCCGACGTTTTGGTGTGTACTGCAAAGAATTATGGGCAATATCGTTTGCCAGAGTCCGCATAGATGCAGACTATGGCGAAGTGTGGATCAGGGGCCAAAGACCTCCCTGGAGAATTGGGACGCCCTACGCACTCGCACCATTCATCGGGAACGCGCAAGTGTTGGAACAGGGCCCTAGGCCCTAGTGTTGGAACAGGGCCCTAGGCCCTAGTGTTGGAACAGGGCCCTAGGCCCTAGTGTTGGAACAGGGCCCTAGGCCCTAGTGTTGGAACAGGGCCCTAGTGTTGGGATGTCAAAGTAAAATTTGCTACAAGCCGAGGGCCGGACAGATTCAATGTTTATTGAAACATATGAACATGATGCATAGAACCTGCTGGACCAAGACCTCACACACTGGATTATTCTTTGAATCATTCAATAAAATACAGTCCAATGGTTTTGTTTGGCTCAGTTGGTCATTTCAAGTGTAAAAAAAAAAAATGTCAAAGACTCGCAGACAAAAACGAACTCCCTTCAAAGAAAAAACTCATGTCCTGAACGTTAAAAAAATAAATCTAAATTTTCTTATGGCTCTGCGCGGCTGGTTCTAATCAAATCTCATCCTGGGGGTCTGGCTCCTGGGGGTCTGGCTCCTGGGGGTCTGGCTCCTGGGGGTCTGGCTCCTGGGCCTTGATTGACAGCCATCATCTAGACAGATATAAAACCAGTTATGTATTGTACTCGGCACTGAAATATTTTAATAGTTCACACATAATCTGTCCTGATCTTCTAACTGTGTGTGTGTTCTCTGTGTTTGTGTGTGTTCTCTGTGTGTGTTTGTGTGTGTTGTTCAGGTGTTTGCTCCAGCAGCCAAACAGATCGACGTGTACCGCAGTGTGGTGTGCCCCATCCTGGACGAGGTCATTATGGGATATAACTGCACTGTCTTTGCGTATGTGGACTCTTCTCTCTCACCTTTTCCTGTTTGAAAGTGTGTGTCTTTCATGGAGTGTGTTGTGTGTCAGGTATGGTCAGACTGGGACTGGGAAGACCTTCACCATGGAGGGGGAGAGGAGCCCAGACGGAGAGTTCACCTGGGAAGAGGTGAGGCTGAAACGGCGCCACTCTCTGAGCGTCCAGTGAAGACGACACGCATTTTCATCATGAGTTTAAACACTTATTTTCCATGTTGTCCTGATTTGTGTCTTGACATTTTCAATATTTGCTGACACCTGAAATGAAACGCCAACAGTGAAGGAAAGAGAAGCAAGCTCTTACAGTAAATCACTGTCAAAGTGTTAATGCGGAAGATATGAACTTGAGCTGGAGCCAATTTCCTTCTGGGCATTTCTTCTTCTGCTGAGTTGCTTTTGGTCCCATAACAAGGGCAGACCTGTTGCTAAGACGGTTGCTAAGGCAAGCTGGAGTTTATCCCATGATTTGAAGGCATTTGATATAATCCTATAATTACCGGTATTTGGCTCAAATCTGGATAAAAGAGAATCAAAATATTAACCTAACAAACTGCAGGTGTTTTAAGCTTTGTGTGACAGTTACTGAGCTTTTTAGATTAGTAGTAGTAGTTTACTCTTAGATGCAAGTCAATAGAAGCCAGAGTGAGTTAGAGAAAAACTTTATCCATGAGCACTTCCCTACAGAGCTGCACGATGTATCTAAAACATTTTTGTCTTCGCGATATTGGTACGTGCAATATCCTTGTTCCCGGAATCTGGGACTACTTTGGATTCACAAGACTGGACCAATCACAGAAACAAGTTAAAATAGTCTCTATGTCGAAGGGAAACGCGAAAGAAATATTGCATTGATATCATTAACGAAAGACTAAACACCTGTATCAAATCAAAGGAAGGTTTCTCACCCATCATCTGTACTTCTTAGCAAGTTTTCCCGACGTTTCGTCCTCAACCTGGGGACTTCTTCAGGGAATGAATTCTCGGACCGCGCGTTGGAGATTTATAACCTATTGTTTACGAGTTAGTATCAGGATTAGGGTGTGGCTAACCACACCCTAATCCTGATACTAACTCGTAAACAATCTAAGGTCTGCTTGATGTAGAAGGGAGCAGGTCTAACAACCCTGCTGAGGCTAACGACCCTAACTCCTTAGCATGTCACAGACCTATTGTCTGCAGGGATGCTCAAGTGGAGTGCAGGTCTCACCCTCCTAACTCATTAGCATGTCACTGACCTTGTCCCAAGTTAGGGCGTTGTTTTTAGGATGTCGTCATAGATGCGAGGCAAAACAAATCTTAACCCTCCTCCTCTGTTAAGAGAAGGTTTCTGTTTCCTCACAAAAATGGCTTCTTTCACCCCTCTCTCAAACCAATTCTTCTCCCGAGCCAGAATTTTAACCTCTGTGTCATCCACCGTGTGGTTGGAGGCCTTGAGGTGGAGATGAACAGCCGACTGTGGCCCACTAGAGTTTTCTCTACGATGTTGGTAAAGTCGTTTCTGTAGAGTTTGTTTGGTTTCTCCAATATAGTGGTCAGTGCACTCCTCTTCACTACATTTAATTGAATACACCACATTGCTCTGTTTGTGTCTGGGTGTTTTGTCTTTGGGATGCACTAATTTCTGTCTTAACGTGTTGAAAGGTTTGAAATACACAGGGATTTTGTGTTGCCTAAAGATTCTTTGTAGTTTCTCTGAAACTCCCGCCACATACGGTAAGGACACCCCTCTCCTCCTACTTTCTTCTGTCTGTTGGACTGTGTCTCTGGCCTTTCTCGTCCTTTGGGCTTTAGTAAAAGACCACTTGGGGTAGCCACATCTGGAAAGTGCTCTCTGAACATGTTTGGTTTCTCTGTTCTTTCCCTCCGAGCTCGTGGGGACCTGGTGGGCTCGGTGTTGAAGCGTTCTAATGACCCCGAGACCTCCTACAGAAGAAAGTAGGAGGAGAGGGGTGTCCTTACCGTATGTGGCGGGAGTTTCAGAGAAACTACAAAGAATCTTTAGGCAACACAAAATCCCTGTGTATTTCAAACCTTTCAAACACGTTAAGACAGAAATTAGTGCATCCCAAAGACAAAACACCCAGACACAAACAGAGCAATGTGGTGTATTCAATTAAATGTAGTGAAGAGGAGTGCACTGACCACTATATTGGAGAAACCAAACAAACTCTACAGAAACGACTTTACCAACATCGTAGAGAAAACTCTAGTGGGCCACAGTCGGCTGTTCATCTCCACCTCAAGGCCTCCAACCACACGGTGGATGACACAGAGGTTAAAATTCTGGCTCGGGAGAAGAATTGGTTTGAGAGAGGGGTGAAAGAAGCCATTTTTGTGAGGAAACAGAAACCTTCTCTTAACAGAGGAGGAGGGTTAAGATTTGTTTTGCCTCGCATCTATGACGACATCCTAAAAACAACGCCCTAACTTGGGACAAGGTCAGTGACATGCTAATGAGTTAGGAGGGGTGAGACCTGCACTCCACTTGAGCATCCCAGCAGACAATAAGTAAGCTTTATTTATATACCGCCTTTCACAGAGCAGAGTCACAAAGCGGTTTACAATTGTTATTTTTTGGGCATTTGTCTCTCACTCCACACAGAGATGGGAGCGGGGTCGCCGAACAGGAGGCGCATGCCAGAACTATTGTACATATTTTTAGTGGTAGGGGAAACCGGAGTACCCGGAGGAAACCTACGCAGACACGGGGAGAACATGCAAACTTCACTCAGAAAGGCCCTGGTCCGGCCGGGATTCGAACCCAGGACCTTCTTGCTGAGAGGCGAGAGTGCTATCCACTCAGCCACCGTGCCGCCCATAATAGGTCTGTGACATGCTAAGGAGTTAGGGTCGTTAGCCTCAGCAGGGTCGTTAGACCTGCTCCCTTCTACATCAAGCAGACCTGAGATTGTTTACGAGTTAGTATCAGGATTAGGGTGTGGTTTACCACACCCATAGGTTATAAATCTCCAACGCGCGGTCCGAGAATTCATTCCCTGAAGAAGTCCCCAGGTTGAGGACGAAACGTCGGGAAAACTTGCTAAGAAGTACAGATGATGGGTGAGAAACCTTCCTTTGCTTTGACTAATCCCTGTACGACTGAGGGCTTACACAAACCTGTATCAAATATTGCTTTAAATTCTAAATCCCGATATTGTGCAAATCTACTTCCCTATTGGTCAATGTTAGACCCATCACTTAATGAGGCCATCTGTGTACAGTCTGAGGTGCTGGGTTAACTGTGTGTGTGTGTGTGTAGCTGTCATGATCCTGTTCAGATGTATTGTGTGTCTGAAGCTGTCATGGTCCTGTTCAGATGTATTGTGTGTCTGAAGCTGTCATGGTCCTGTTCAGATGTATTGTGTGTAGTGATTGTGTGTCTGAAGCTGTCATGATCCCGTTCAGATGTATTGTGTGTAGTGATTGTGTGTCTGAAGCTGTCATGGTCCTGTTCAGATGTATTGTTTGTGTGTAGTGATTGTGTGTCTGCAGCTGTCATGGTCCTGTTCAGATGTATTGTGTGTCTGAAGCTGATATGATCCTGTTCAGATGTATTGTGTGTAGTAATTGTGTGTCTGAAGCTGTCATGGTCCTGTTCAGATGTATTGTTTGTGTGTAGTGATTGTGTGTCTGCAGCTGTCATGGTCCTGTTCAGATGTATTGTGTGTCTGAAGCTGATATGATCCTGTTCAGATGTATTGTGTGTAGTAATTGTGTGTCTGAAGCTGTCATGGTCCTGTTCAGATGTATTGTTTGTGTGTAGTGATTGTGTGTCTGCAGCTGTCATGGTCCTGTTCAGATGTATTGTGTCTGAAGCTGTCATGGTCCTGTTCAGATGTATTGTGTGTAGTGACTGTGTGTCTGACGCTCTCCTGCGCCCCCTGCAGGACCCTCTGGCCGGCATCATCCCCAGGACTCTGCATCAGATCTTTGAGAAGCTGTCTGAGAACGGCACAGAGTTCTCGGTGAAAGTGTCTCTGTTGGAGATCTACAACGAGGAGCTGTTCGACCTCCTGAGCCCCGGAGACTACACCAACGAGAGGCTGCAGCTGTTCGACGACCCGCGCAACAAGGTCTGCTCCTGCTTCTGCAAACATGCGCCTTTCACTTCTTTTTCTATGTATTTATATTCTTTTTCATTCATTAAAAAAGGTTCATATAGAGTTCTGTGACAAGCAGCAGACAAACAGTTGAGAAAACAAGAAGTTGTCCTTTCTGAGCTATAACTATTATTTATTATTACTTCATGAGAGTAGAAATAAACATTAAACACATTTAAAAACAAGAAATAGAATAAAGAAAACTGAACGTGTGTTTGTCAGTATTGTCTTTGGTAAAGCATCCCCCACCCCCGCTCTTCATTCAGATAAAGTCAGGTTCAGGTCTTTTACTGGAATCACTCTGTTCCTTCTGAAGTCAGATGTTGTTAGTCTCTCCATCACAAATATCTGGTGAATTATTATATTATTATATTATTATTATTATATTAATATTAATATTATGCAGTACTGTGGTTTCTGGTTCTTCTTCTTCTTCACTTTCACTGCTCTGTTAATCCATAAACTCCTGCTGACCGCTGTGTAGACTCCACCAGGGACTGATTCTTCAGCAGTTATAGCAGTTTATTATTTATCTATTCTTAGATGGATCCTGTGCCACTTTCTCTTATTGCTGGATGTGTTCATTGATGACTTTGAAATTACCGCTGAAGGACAAACACAGGTTTCTACTCTGCTACGATCAACTTCCCCAAGTTTTCAGCCATTTTTTTAGTTTTTCTAGAGCAGGTATGTGCAAACTATGGTCCGTGGGCTAAATGTGGTCCGCTGTCATTTTAAGTGGCCCTCTAAATCGCCCAACTTTGAGATCATAAACACAAGTTCAGAGTCATCCAGCAGTAGTGTAAAAAGTAGTGGTGGGAAAACTTTTCTGTTCAGTTTCGCGCAATTAGATCGATAAAGGAGAGCAAAGTCTAGTCATATATTTAATTATCTGTTTAACTTTTGTCTTTTCTCTGAGTTTACTCTGGTAATTTCCATCTAACCTGGGCGTCTGTCTGTGCTCAGCGTGGCGTGGTGGTCAAGGGTCTGGAGGAGATCACGGTCCACAACAAGGACGAGGTTTATCAGATCCTGGAGAGAGGCTCCGCCAAGAGGAAGACTGCCTCCACGCTCATGAACGCATACTCCAGGTACCGCTGTGGTCCCGCCTTCACACCTGTCGCTCTCTCTCACACCTGTCGCTCTCTCTCACACCTGTCGCTCTCTCTCACACCTGTCGCTCTCTCTCACTCACACCTGTCGCTCTCTCTCACACACACCTGTCGCTCTCTCACACCTGTCGCTCTCTCTCACACCTGTCGCTCTCTCTCACACCTGTCGCTCTCTCTCACACCTGTCGCTCTCTCTCACACCTGTCGCTCTCTCTCACACCTGTCGCTCTCTCACACACACCTGTCGCTCTCTCACACACACCTGTCGCTCTCTCTCTCTCACACCTGTCGCTCTCTCTCTCTCACACCTGTCGCTCTCTCTCACTCACACCTGTCGCTCTCTCTCACACACACCTGTCGCTCTCTCTCACACACACCTGTCGCTCTCTCTCACACCTGTCGCTCTCTCTCACACCTGTCGCTCTCTCTCACACCTGTCGCTCTCTCTCACACCTGTCGCTCTCTCTCACACCTGTCGCTCTCTCTCACACCTGTCGCTCTCTCTCACACCTGTCGCTCTCTCTCACACCTGTCGCTCTCTCTCACACCTGTCGCTCTCTCTCTCACACCTGTCGCTCTGTCTCTCTCACACCTGTCGCTCTCTCTCTCTCACACCTGTCGCTCTCTCTCACACACACCTGTCGCTCTCTCTCACACCTGTCGCTCTCTCTCACACCTGTCGCTCTCTCTCACACACACCTGTCGCTCTCTCTCACACCTGTCGCTCTCTCTCACACCTGTCGCTCTCTCTCACACCTGTCGCTTTCTCTCACACACACCTGTCGCTCTCTCCTCTCACATGTCTCACTCACACCTATCTCTCTCACCTGTCTCTCCTCTTTCTGTCTCTCTCACACACCTGTGTATCTCACAACTGTCCCTCTCACACCTGTCTATCACTCTCTCATACCTGTTTCTGTCTCTCTCCCTTCTCACTCCTGTCTTTCTCTCCCCTCTCACTCCTGTCTCTCTCCTCAGCCGTTCCCATTCAGTGTTTTCCGTCACCATACACATGAAGGAGATCACTCTGGACGGGGAGGAGCTGGTGAAGATCGGAAAACTCAATCTGGTGAGTGTTAGATTCTGTTTTATTATGAATTGCAGTCGTTTTTCTTAATATTTTGAAGAAACATAATCACCTTTTTAATAATCATCAGACTTTGTGTGTAGTAGAAAAGCTTTCCGCCTCTAACTCTTTATGCTACCACCAGAAGGAGCTGCTTTTTGTCAGTCCTTAAGAAACGAGGCGCTCAGTGCTGCAGGTGTAAAAGGTGCCTTAATGTGGAAGAAACAAACATGAGCTGGATCCAATTTATTTTTAGGAAGATTTTTAAGGCAAACACCACCCTTTAATAACAAACCAGTTGTTGCATGACACTCTGACGGGAGTGTTTCGACAGAAGGGGTGGGGGTACATGTGTTGCCAGGGGGGCGTGGGGCCTCAGTGCTTCCTGACCCTGTGTCCGTGCAGGTGGACCTGGCGGGCAGCGAGAACATCGGGCGCTCGGGAGCAGTGGACAAACGCGCTCGTGAAGCCGGGAACATCAACCAGTCTCTGCTCACGCTGGGACGGGTCATCACTGCTCTGGTGGAGAAGAGGCCTCACATCCCGTACAGGTCCGTGCTCTGCGCCTCCGACGGGTTTAGGTTCAAGGAGGAAGCCAAGGCACGAAATACTAGGAACGCAGAGTTAGATCTGATTTATCTGTGTGCTGTTTTCATTTGCTTCACAAGTGTCTGTTCCATAGGCTGTAATGTTAGCCGTGGGCAGGCTAGCAGAGTTCTTAGACGGCTCATATAAGAATAAAAGAATCATAAACTGTAACATGCAAGGTAAACACACACAATAAGAACTGCCAAACAGTCCTAGTCACTCACACATCTCCCCCTCATTCAAACATAAGGAATTCCTGCTTCTCTAGAACCCAAACGCAGTCTGTGCATAATCCTCCAGTCCACATTTCTCCGGCGGGTACCACTGCATGTTTCCTGAATAATATTAAAAATCAACAGTTCCATTAGAATCATCCACCGGGCTGAGAAATACAGTATGATTCTGAGCACCACCTGGAGCAGGGACTCTCCATCTCAAGATATATTAAAAAAAACTGGGCTGGTGTGATCAGTAACAGCCCTGAGTCCTGCTGACGCCATAGAAGGGCACAGGTTAAGATGGTCCAGGGGGGTGTGACCAAGGGAACGCTAAAGCTAAGCTAAAATGCATAAAAACAGGAAATGAAACATGCGACGGTATGCTTATATTTCCTGATGTATCTTGGAGCTGTTTGTTGTCACCAAATGTCCTCTTTTTTTAGACGGGCCTAGTATATAAAGCGACACCCTTTCTGTTATAACATGTAAAAGGAGGAGCCTATATCCAGTTACAAAGCAGTGGTCGTTTTGCAGCCGACTAAAATGTAACTCCCTTGATTAACAAAAGTCATTCTCAACAAAGTGTATTATATAGAAAATGAAAGTATTACTAATCTTCTCTAATTCTTTTTCTTTTCCACTGTTTCGGCCAAGGCACACCAAATAACATTTCAAGGCACACTAATGTACCACGGCCCACTGGTTGAAAAACACTGTTCTTAATCATTCTTCTGCCCTTTCCAGAGAGTCGAAGCTGACGAGGATCCTGCAGGACTCTCTGGGAGGACGGACCAAGACCTCCATCATCGCCACAGTGTCTCCTTCCTCCAGCAACATCGAGGTGTGTCCTCCTTCAAAGATCTGCTGCGTGTGATGCTAGGATCAGAGCAAACTTTAAATGACTTCTTCTAGGGATGTAAATCGATGACCGTTTAACCGGTGGTTGACCGTCACAGCGTTAACCGGTCAAAGCTGTCGGTTAAAAAAGGGGAGGTCTCTACATAACGCTATTTTAAGCCCTATTTGCACGGTGTGACGAGCGGGTCCGTATCTAGCTGTGTGCGCCAATGTAACAGTAAACTCCGGGGAAACACACACACACACGATCCTCTCAAATACACGGCTCCAGTCAAACAACATGAAACGTGTTTATGGTCCTTGTCATCAGATCAGCTCCACACACATCACTTTATTTAAACTTTAGTGGAGACCTGTGGGACGCGGCTCGTCACTCGCTGCTCTGACCATGTGAAGTCTTTTGCTTAAAAATGCTTTAACCCGCAGCACAGTATGGAAAGATTAAAAAAGCAGTTCTCTGTGCGCAAAGGTGCTGAAGCTGTTGCTGGTTTTGGCGCCGCTGTCTCGGCTCTGATCCAGTAGAACGCAGAGCTGCACTTATGAGAAGTACGCGGCTCGAAAGGGCTGTTATTTCAAAGAACCTGGGATATTTTAAACTACGCGGTTAACCGGTTTCAACAGGTTAATGAGGCTCGGTGGTCGGTCATGAAAATTGAGTTTTTTACATCCCTAACTTCTTCTGATGTAGGAAACTCTGAGCACTCTGGAGTACGCCTGCAGAGCCAAGAACATCATGAACAAACCGGAAGTCAACCAGAAGCTCACCAAGAGGACGCTGATCAAGGTCCAAGGATGCTCCCTGTCCCTGTGTGTGTGCTCCCTGTCCTTGTGTGTGTGTGTGTGGTCCCTGTGCTCCCTGTCCCTGTGTGTGTGTGCTCCCTGTGTGTGTGTGTGCTCCCTGTCCCTGTGTGTGTGTGTGTGCTCCCTGTCCCTGTGCTCTAATGGTAGTGTGTGTGCAGGAGTACACAGAGGAGATAGAGAGGCTGAAGAGGGACCTGGCTGCAGCGCGGGACAAACATGGAGTTTACCTGTCCACAGAGAACTATGAGTACGTCACATTTAATCATAATATCACAGTGTCACAGTGTGTTTGTGCAGAGTGTCACAGTGTGTGTTTGTGCCGAGTGTCACAGTGTCACAGTGTGTTTGTGCCGAGTGTCACAGTGTCACAGTGTGTTTGTGCCGAGTGTCACAGTGTGATAGTGTGTTTGTGCCGAGTGTCACAGTGTGATAGTGTGTTTGTGCCGAGTGTCACAGTGTGATAGTGTGTTTGTGCCGAGTGTCACAGTGTGATAGTGTGTTTGTGCCGAGTGTCACAGTGTGATAGTGTGTTTGTGCCGAGTGTCACAGTGTGTGTTTGTGCCGAGTGTCACAGTGTGTGTTTGTGCCGAGTGTCACAGTGTGTGTTTGTGCCGAGTGTCACAGTGTGTGTTTGTGCCGAGTGTCACGGTGTGTTGTGCGTGTGTGTTTGTGCCGAGTGTCACAGTGTGTGTTTGTGCCGAGTGTCACAGTGTGTGTTTGTGCCGAGTGTCACAGTGTGTGTTTGTGCCGAGTGTCACAGTGTGTGTTTGTGCCGAGTGTCACAGTGTGTGTTTGTGCCGAGTGTCACAGTGTGTGTTTGTGCCGAGTGTCACAGTGTGTGTTTGTGCCGAGTGTCACAGTGTGTGTTTGTGCCGAGTGTCACAGTGTGTGTTTGTGCCGAGTGTCACAGTGTGTGTTTGTGCCGAGTGTCACAGTGTGTGTTTGTGCCGAGTGTCACAGTGTGTGTTTGTGCCGAGTGTCACAGTGTGTGTTTGTGCCGAGTGTCACAGTGTGTGTTTGTGCCGAGTGTCACAGTGTGTGTTTGTGCCGAGTGTCACAGTGTGTGTTTGTGCCGAGTGTCACAGTGTGTGTTTGTGCCGAGTGTCACAGTGTGTGTTTGTGCCGAGTGTCACAGTGTGTGTTTGTGCCGAGTGTCACAGTGTGTGTTTGTGCCGAGTGTCACAGTGTGTGTTTGTGCCGAGTGTCACAGTGTGTGTTTGTGCCGAGTGTCACAGTGTGTGTTTGTGCCGAGTGTCACAGTGTGTGTTTGTGCCGAGTGTCACAGTGTGTGTTTGTGCCGAGTGTCACAGTGTGTGTTTGTGCCGAGTGTCACAGTGTGTGTTTGTGCCGAGTGTCACAGTGTGTGTTTGTGCCGAGTGTCACAGTGTGATAGTGTGTTTGTGCCGAGTGTCAGTGTGATAGTGTGTTTGTGCCGAGTGTCAGTGTGATAGTGTGTTTGTGCCGAGTGTCAGTGTGATAGTGTGTTTGTGCCGAGTGTCAGTGTGATCGTGTGTTTGTGCCGAGTGTCAGTGTGATCGTGTGTTTGTGCTGAGTGTCAGTGTGATCGTGTGTTTGTGCTGAGTGATAGTGTGTTTCCTGATGGCTGATATGATGTGATGGTGTTGCTGATTAAACCTCTGCACTCTGAGTTCACATGAGCTGTTTAGAAAGAAATGTTTAATGTACATTTCTCCTGTGTGAGATCAGTAAAGTCTATCTTATCTTATGCTTAGACCTCATTAACAAACGGCTCGTCTTCAGCAGAACTACAGCTGTAGGTCTGTCTCAAATGATCAGACTGATTCTGCGTTTGTAAATGACACCTCTTCAAACGTGAAAAACTGTTTGTGGACTCAGCCGCAAGTCTGTGTCACTAGGGCTGCACAGTACATAACATATCTATATCCACACAGAACCACAGCTGATGTGTATCGCTGTTGCAGCTAACGCAGCTGAGGCAGCGGCGCATAGTGCTCCGAGGAACAGGAAGTAAACCTCCCCTTTAAGAACAATGTAAATTTTCACTGGTTCTGAGTCAAACTGCTCGTCTGTGTTGTGTTGTCATGGAAATTGCTCGTATCAACAGGAACTTATGGACTCTCTTTTATCGTTCATTTCTCTAACGGGCGTCACTTTTTATTTGTGAACAAACACGGCTGACAGTGTTTGCTGACTTTCATCATTGTCAGAACTGTCAGACACACATTCCCCGTGTGTGTCTGACAGTTGTGTGTGTGTGTCCAGGTGCATAATGGGATGTGTGTGTGTGTGTGTGTGTGTCCAGGTGCATGATGGGACATGTGTGTATCTGATGGTAGTTGTGTGTGTCCAGGTGCATGCTGGGACAGATCAGCGCTCATGAGGAGCTGGAGGCAGAGAGTCTGGAGAGGATCAGTGCGATGGAGGAGGAGATAAAGAAGGTGAAGAACGTCCTGTTGAAATGATCCATGTGTCGTTTTGTTTTTTGTCCTAAACATATAAATATCTGCTTAAGAAATTATTTTGTATTTTAAAAGGTATAATACAGAACTTTATATTCTCAATGCAATTTAAAACCAAACGTTTATATACTGTGTATAAACCAGTGTGGGTGGGTCCCGGCTCAAAAGTGTCCAAAATGACGTGCGCTGACATGCTGCAGTACCACCCCGGGCCTGTGGGGGTGGACCCGGAATAAGAATTAGCCAAAGCTAACATATAGCATCTTCTTACCTCTCAAAAACGTCTTTACAGGATGGACCAAAAGTTGTCTCTTGGCCCAAAGCTCCGTTCCACATGTGTGTCAATGCTCCAGACTGGTCCAGAACACTGGACCAGTCTAGTTTAGTCGCTGTAGACTTTAGAAGTCTCTCGTTTAAATGAATGGAGCTGCGCCGGCTGACGCATACACAGATGCGTTTTTTTCACAATTTTCTTGTGGGCGGGACCACTCGCGGCCGTTTTTGGATAGCTCCAGTAGAGCACATTTTTTGGCCCATTTTCTATGGTATAGACTCACAAATACTAACACACTGAACCACGACATTTGGAGTATTTTACTAAAACTAGCTTTGTACAATATTATCATCTTTAAATGGCCATCTGTGACATGTTAGAGCCACAGGGACCGACTCTGAGGAGCACAGGGACTGGTCTCTTGCTGGTCCCAGAGTCAGGACTAAACATGAGGAGGCAGTGTTTCAGATTTATACTAAAATCTGGAGCAGTCTTCTTGAACATGTGAGACGGGCTGCTCTGACAAAACAAACTGGTTGAAACAGTTCTTTAGTTGTGCTGAAACTGAAGCGTTGTCTTTGTTTTGTTTTGTCCCTGTGTCCAAACTGTGACTCACAGGTACTGTGTCTGTTCAGATCACGGAGCTGTTTGAGGACAGTAAGATCAAACTGGAGCAGTGCTCGGTGCATCTGGAGGAGAAGCAGCAAAGGTACAGTCACATGACACAGTCACAGGTCTGTGTGATGTCACATGACACAGTCACAGGTCTGTGTGATGTCACATGACACAGTCACAGGTGTGTGATGTCACAGCTGTGTGATGTCACGTGACACCGTCACCGGTCTGTGATGTCACGTGACACCGTCACAGGTGTGTGATGTCACGTGACACCGTCACAGGTCTGTGATGTCACGTGACACCGTCACAGGTCTGTGATGTCACGTGACACCGTCACAGGTCTGTGATGTCACGTGACACCGTCACAGGTCTGTGATGTCACGTGACACCGTCACAGGTCTGTGATGTCACGTGACGCCGTCACAGGTGTGTGATGTCACGTGACGCCGTCACAGGTGTGTGATGTCACGTGACGCCGTCACAGGTGTGTGATGTCACGTGACGCCGTCACAGGTGTGTGATGTCACGTGACGCCGTCACAGGTGTGTGATGTCACGTGACGCCGTCACAGGTGTGTGATGTCACGTGACGCCGTCACAGGTGTGTGATGTCACGTGACGCCGTCACAGGTGTGTGATGTCACGTGACGCCGTCACAGGTGTGTGATGTCACGTGACGCCGTCACAGGTGTGTGATGTCACGTGACGCCGTCACAGGTGTGTGATGTCACGTGACGCCGTCACAGGTGTGTGATGTCACGTGACGCCGTCACAGGTGTGTGATGTCACGTGACACGGTCGTACCTTTGTGCTCAGATTGCAGGAGACTGAGGAGAAGCTGAACCAGGAGCAGTTTGTTTGCTCCGAGCTCACGGTGGCTCACGAGTCTCTCTACAACACAGCAGGACAGGTACGGACCTCACTGTGGGACCTCACACTAGGACAGGTACGGACCTCACTGTGGGACCTCACACTAGGACAGGTACGGACCTCACTGCGGTACCTCATACTAGGACAGGTACGGACCTCACTGCAGGACAAGTACGGACCTCACTGTGGGACCTCACACTAGGACAGGTACGGACCTCACTGTGGGACCTCACACTAGGACAGGTACGGACCTCACTGTGGGACCTCACACTAGGACAGGTACGGACCTCACTGTGGGACCTCACACTAGGACAGGTACGGACCTCACTGTGGGACCTCACACTAGGACAGGTACGGACCTCACTGTGGGACCTCACACTAGGACAGGTACGGACCTCACTGTGGGACCTCACACTAGGACAGGTACGGACCTCACTGTGGGACCTCACACTAGGACAGGTACGGACCTCACTGTGGGACCTCACACTAGGACAGGTACGGACCTCACTGTGGGACCTCACACTAGGACAGGTACGGACCTCACTGTGGGACCTCACGGCAGGACCTCACAGCAGTACTGATGTCTACCACAGTGTCGAGCTTATGTTTCTCCATTTTGGACTTGACCATGAATACGTCCTGGGCGAACTGCGGCCCAGGGACCACTTGCAGCCCCTTTAACGTTTCTGTCCGATCCTTGGATCTTAATAATTCTAAAACAAAATATTGAGAACTAAGTTGTTGTGGTTTTGACCTATGCAACTGCTTTTACTCTTGCTCTTCTTATAGCTGTCGGAGTGTAAGGTGAAATGTAATAAGAATTCTTTACTGATTCATATAATAACGGCTTGGTCCTCCATCATCACCGAGCCACAGAAGAAATGCCCAAATAAGGAAGTGGCTGCATCTTGTGTTCACCGCGGCCTCTTCTGCTTTAAGGCCAACACGGCCCACTCCTAACACACGATCTGTGGCAGCGGCTCCCAAGGGCTTCAGCCCCGCCAACCTTCTAAGCCTTAAAGGAATAGTTCACCGTTTTTACATACTGACAAATGTTCTTACCTTACCTTAGACTAGTTAATACGTACCTGTCTGGTCTTAGTCCGTGCGCTCTGTCATGCAAACGGAGCAAAAACGGGAGCACAACCGCAGCCTCCTCTGTATATTTTGTAGCACCAAAAGGTAGCTCCCGCTAGAAGCTACCAAACTCTTCCAAGTGTTCCCTATTAAATGTATATAGTTACGTGACGTGTTACACTGCAAAGTATAGTAACACAGAAATGTAAGTCGATTTTCTCAGCGGATAAAACGGGTACTATATTGTGAGGCGTAGTAATCTGAGGGGCGCTACGTCCGCGCACTAACTTCTCTCCGGAGACTTCTCTCTCGCTCACTTCAGTCAATAGAAGCAGCGTGACTTGTAGTACACACAGTAGCAGCGAGAGAGAAGTCTCCGGAGAGAAGTTAGTGCGCAGAGAAGTTAGGAGCGCTACGTCCGCGCACTAACTTCTCTCCGGAGACTTCTCTCTCGCTGCTACTGTGTGTATTACAAGTCACGCTGCTTCTATTGACGGAAGTGAGCGAGAGAGAAGTCTCCGGAGAGAAGTTAGTGCGCGGACGTAGCGCCCCTCAGATTACTACGCCTCACAATATAGTACCCGTTTTATCCGCTGAGAAAATCGACTGTTACATTTCTGTGTTACTATTCTTTGCAGTGTAACACGTCACGTAACTATATACATTTAATAGGGAACACTTGGAAGAGTTTGGTAGCTTCTAGCGGGAGCTACCTTTTGGTGCTACAAAATATACAGAGGAGGCTGAATTTGTGCTCCCGTTTTTGCTCCGTTTGCATGACAGAGCGCACGGACTAAGACCAGACAGGTACATATTAACTAGTCTAAGGTAAGGTAAGAACATTTGTCAGTATGTAAAAACGGTGAACTATTCCTTTAAACAAGACTATAAAGGTTATACTCCTGTGTTCTAACCACTGCTGCTGTTGTTGTGTGTCTCCAGCTGCTACACACAGTTGACGCCAGCACCACTGATGTGTCCGAGCTACACAACAAACTGGAGCGCACCAAAAAGGTCAGAGGCTGTTTATGGGTTTAGTGACACAAGCAAAAACTAATGTCATTAAGTTCAAATAAACGACTTGGTTCTAAATGTTCTGAGCGTCAGTGAGTTAGAGCATGACTGTGTTGAAGTAGATCAGGGCATTTTTCAAGACGAATGATACTGTATCAAGAATAATGAGTCTGCATTTGGAAATCTCACTTCTTAAATACATATAACAGCCTCTTGGCAGTGGTCTGCGCTCAAGTGTTTTTAAATCAATAAAACTTGAGCAGTGATTTCCACCTGTTTGACTTATTACTGTTATAGATACTTTCAGTTGAACATTTACATCAGAATCACTGAGGGGTGGCCTCAGTATCGGCACCTCCCCTGTCCCCAGTCTCCTCCTCCTCTGACGTGTGTGTGTGTGTGCGCGCAGGTGGAGCAGCATAACCAGCAGATGAAGCAGAGTTTCAGTCAGAGGATGGAAGGAGCCTTCAGTCAGATCCAGCTCTGTGTCCAGCAGCAGAGTTCCAAACAGCAGGAGATGCTGAGCTCCTGCTCCAGGACCATCGGTGAGTTTTATACTGATGCTTTTGAAATGTCTGAGATTCATCTGAAGTAATGTGCTCTGACCACAGCTGTGCTTTCTGTGCTGTGGAAGCCGGAAGCACAGCTCCTCAGACTGTAGAGCTGTTAGAAACTCCTCCCAAATGAAGATAAACGTTTGTGCGAAGCCAGATCGCTGCATTAGGAAGTGTCCAGCTTCAGGAACTCCTGTAGCTGTCTACTATGTTCATCATTTAGGTGCAAAAGAAAGATCTCCTTTAAAACCAAGTTTAGTTTGGTACAAACCAGGATTACCATCAAACCAGCCGCAGAGTCTGTCTCTGGGTGATGGTCTGAGCACATGGTCAGTGCTGATATAAGTCCCACTCTGACCGGGTCTCTGTCCTCAGACGGCCTGGTGCAGACCAATGAGGCGGCTCTCCACGGCTCCCTGACCACGCTGCAGAGCTTTGTGTCCGGCGTGAGCGGCGTGGTGTCTGAGGGAGTGAGCCGCTGCAGGGAGCGAGTGAAGGAGCAGCTGAGTCTGAGCCAGAGGGAGCGGGACGTCCTGCTGCAGCTGCTGGTGAGCATACATACACACATACACACATACACACACACACACATACACTGTATACGTACGCACACACACATACATCAGGGCTGGTGATAATAGGATAGTAATTTATATCGATTCTGGCAAAGATAATAACATAAACAAGACAAAATGAGTTTGTGAATATTTCCTTTCAAGGCAGTAGCATAATACATATATAGAATATATATATATTAGATTATGACTGATGGTAAAATGTGGTATTGTTCATTTCTTATATATTGTAAATAGTAACTGTAACTCTAATTTATATTTATTCCTTAGAAGTGTTTTTTATTCTTTATTTTTATTATCTCTTTCTGACTGTTGCACTGAGACAAAGCAATCTCCAAGTCTGTGACTTCTGTTACTTACGTGGCAATAAAAATGATTCTGATTCTTAGTTGTGGAATAGCTTGTAATTTTAGTTTTGTGACGACTTCTATGGAAACTGGTTTGTGTCAAAATGAACAAGGCCTGTATCAGCGGATTAGTGGTAAAGAATAAAGAATCTCTATCTTTCACTGTAGACATTAAAGAGCTCAGAGCTTTCATGTCTAAGTCCAGGACTGCAGAATAAAATGTGTTCTTTGACTCTGAGAATCCTGTGACGCTGTGTTTCAGGAGGAGCATGAGCAGGACCTGGAGGAAGTCCTGGTGACCCGCACTCTGCTGGGTCTGTCTGCTGTGAAGGAGCTGGGACTGTCCCTGAGGACCAGCTCACAGGGCCAGAGGGAGCTGGCCGATAAGGTATATAAATGGCCCTGGGGGAAAAAGTGATATATGATAAATAATGACCCAATATATTTGTTACGAGCACAAAGTGCATTTACAATAATGAATATATCAGATTTTTCATGATCACTAAGTATATCATTGGATTTGTTCATTTCTAAATCCTTTGGCGAGCTACAGGCAGTGGAGAGCTACAGGTTGGATACCCCCGGTGTAGAAGGAGCATAAATGGAAGGATAGAAGGTCGCGTCTACACTGTCGCGCCCTGTGTTGTGTGTCTACATCATGTTGTGTGTCGCCTGCGGGTGGGGGCCCTGTGTTGTGTGTCGCCTGCGAGGGGAGGCCCTGTGTTGTGTGTCTACATCATGTTGTGTGTCGCCTGTGGGTGGGGGCCCTGTGTTGTGTGTCGCCTGCGAGGGGAGGCCCTGTGTTGTGTGTCTACGTCATGTTGTGTGTCGCCCGCAGGTGGAGGCCCTGTGTTGTGTGTCTACATCATGTTGTGTGTCTCCTGCAGGTGGAGGCCCTGAAGGAGTCTGCCGTCTTCTTCTCGTCTCAGGCTCAGGAGCTGCAGCTGCTGAGACAGAGGACCATGGAGCAGCTGAGCCGTCTGCAGGAGGAGCACCAGCAGCTGGAGCAGAACCTGGCCCAGGCCCAGGACCTGCACCGCACGGTACCAGGCCTCTCTGTCCCGGGCCTCTCTGTCCCGGGCCTCTCTTTACACATGTGTCCTAAGAGTCTTCTTTATTGTCTTCCATATGAGAAGTGTGTATTGCTTCACACAGACGGCGCGTACCCGCTCACGCCGCGTACCCGCTCACGCCGCGTACCCGCTCACGCCGCGTACCCGCCCACGCCGCGTACCCGCTCACGCCGCGTACCCGCCCACGCCGCGTACCCGCTCACGCCGCGTACCCGCCCACGCCGCGTACCCGCTCACGCCGCGTACCCGCCCACGCCGCGTACCCGCTCACGCCGCGTACCCGCCCACGCCGCGTACCCGCTCACGCCGCGTACCCGCCCACGCCGCGTACCCGCTCACGCCGCGTACCCGTCCACGCCGCGTACCCACCCACGCACCAGTGGACATAGACACAGGTCAGGCCCCATCAGAGGCCTGCGCCCCGCGATCATTCCACCCACAGAAAGTCTAAAGTCCAGTCTTTATGGGACTTGCCCTAGGCCTTTATTAGTTTGTCTATAATGACATTTATTTACATCGTTTTGGGGACTTTTCTATAAACTATTATGCTTCTCCTTTTACAAAGAACCTGCAAGCTTTAGAAATAAAAATGTGTATGACGGTTTGGACTAAAGGAAAAGTTGACTTGAATATTGCACTCATGTCTGAAGTTTAGTGTTATATTGTTTATTTAGAGGATAAGCCCTTTGAGATGAATCATCTCGTTTTCAAGGGTGACAGATACAGAAAAACAGAAACACCACAAAAATATAAGAAAATCATAAAAAAAATAAAAAGCAACCATAAAAAACACACATAAACCCTCAATCACGCACTCTCACTCACACACTGTAATTACACTAAATAAGGATAATACTATTAATATTAATGGTAAAAATAATAATTGGGAGACAATAAAGACAAGTTTAGGTCTCATAACCTAAGATCCAAAACATTGACATGAGTTCTGGAGATATTTGACAAGAGCAGTTTTAAACAGAGGCAGAGAAGTTAGAGCGAACAGACAACGGCAAACTGTTCCAGACGGAGCTTTACGTTCAGATGCATGTGTTCCAGCTTCTTCTTTCACTCTTGGAACTACAAAAAAAATAGATTTGCACGACGCAAACTGTTCGAGGATTGGAAAGGAATCAGATATTGTTTTAAATATTCAGGAAAACTGAGATGAATACATTTGAAAATAAACAATAGCCAATGTAGCTGACGTCTGGAGGACAGAGAGAGCCACGACAGCTGCTCTTACATCAGGCAGTCATGGGTTCTAGAGCACAGAGCCACAACAGCTGCTCGTACATCAGGCAGTCATGGGTTCTAGAGCACAGAGAGCCACGACAGCTGCTCGTAGATCAGGCAGTCATGGGTTCTAGAGCACAGAGAGAGCCACGACAGCTGCTCATACATCAGGCAGTCATGGGTTCTAGAGCACAGAGAGAGCCACGACAGCTGCTCGTACATCAGGCAGTCATGGGTTCTAGAGCACAGAGCCACGACAGCTGCTCATACATCAGGCAGTCATGGGTTCTAGAGCACAGAGCCACGACAGCTGCTCGTACATCAGGCAGTCATGGGTTCTAGAGCACAGAGAGAGCCACGACAGCTGCTCATACATCAGGCAGTCATGGGTTCTAGAGCACAGAGAGAGCCACGACAGCTACTCGTACATCAGGCAGTCATGGGTTCTAGAGGACAGAGTCATGACAGCTGCTCGTACATCAGGCAGTCATGGGTTCTAGAGCACAGAGAGAGCCACGACAGCTGCTCATACATCAGGCAGTCATGGGTTCTAGAGCACAGAGAGAGCCACGACAGCTACTCGTACATCAGGCAGTCATGGGTTCTAGAGGACAGAGTCATGACAGCTGCTCGTACATCAGGCAGTCATGGGTTCTAGAGCACAGAGAGCCACGACAGCTGCTCGTACATCAGGCAGTCATGGGTTCTAGAGCACAGAGAGCCACGACAGCTGCTCGTACATCAGGCGGTCATGGGTTCTAGAGCACAGAGAGAGCCACGACAGCTGCTCGTACATCAGGCAGTCATGGGTTCTAGAGCACAGAGCCACAACAGCTGCTTGTACATCAGGCAGTCATGGGTTCTAGAACACAGAGCCACGGCAGCTGCTCGTAAATCAGGCAGTCATGGGTTCTAGAGCACAGAGAGAGCCACGACAGCTGCTCATACATCAGGCAGTCATGGGTTCTAGAGCACAGAGAGCCACAACAGCTGCTCGTACATCAGGCAGTCATGGGTTCTAGAGCACAGAGAGCCACGACAGCTGCTCGTACATCAGGCAGTCATGGGTTCTAGAGCACAGAGCCACGACAGCTGCTCGTACATCAGGCAGTCATGGGTTCTAGAGCACAGAGAGCCACGACAGCTGCTCGTACATCAGGCAGTCATGGGTTCTAGAGCACAGAGAGAGCCACAACAGCTGCTCGTACATCAGGCAGTCATGGGTTCTAGAGCACAGAGCCACGACAGCTGCTCGTACATCAGGCAGTCATGGGTTCTAGAGCACAGAGCCACGACAGCTGCTCGTTCATCAGGCAGTCATGGGTTCTAGAACACAGAGCCACGACAGCTGCTCGTTCATCAGGCAGTCATGGGTTCTAGAGGACAGAGAGAGCCACGACAGCTGCTCGTACATCAGGCAGTCATGGGTTCTAGAGCACAGAGAGAGCCACAACAGCTGCTCGTACATCAGGCAGTCATGGGTTCTAGAGCACAGAGCCACAACAGCTGCTCGTACATCAGGCAGTCATGGGTTCTAGAACACAGAGCCACGACAGCTGCTCGTAAATCAGGCAGTCATGGGTTCTAGAGCACAGAGAGAGCCACGACAGCTGCTCGTACATCAGGCAGTCATGGGTTCTAGAGCACAGAGCCACGACAGCTGCTCTTACATCAGGCAGTCATGGGTTCTGAACGGAAGGCGAAGGATGAACCTACACAGGCTGTTGTAAGACGGTCAGAGGCTGGAGAACAGAGGCAGTAGTGTTTTGATGAATTATATCACAGGAATCAAGAATGGGGAGAATCAGTTAAGCTCTAAATCCCAGCAGTGGTTTGGTCGATCAGACGCAGAGACTAATGTCCATAAATGTTACGAGTGTCCTGGATCATCACCACTGTCCTTGGAGAGGAACAACTAAAAGTCTTCAACAGAACAAAACGTGTGAAATTAAAAAAAGCACTTTCATGTGACATCATAAGACCTTATTAAAGCCATATCGATGCCATTATTGAAAGGTAAATATTTTCTTCTTGATTCCATTTCAAACTGCTGTTTCCTCAGAGAATGAAGAGGCTGCAGGAGCAGCTGAGTCTGGAGACAGAGGAGACACAAACAGACTTCAGCAGACTACACTCTGCCTCCAGAGGCCTGGAGGCGACACTGCAGGGCCTGAGGGACCACATTGACAGGTCACTACTACACACCTGCAGGCGCTGATGGACACACACACCTTTGAAATTACACACAAGCTGAAGATCTTTGTCTGAGCCTGATGAGGTCTGACGGGTTCAGGTCGGGCCTAGTTTGATTCCACTCTATAATTCAGACCCATGGTTCAGGTCAGGTTCAGGCAGAATCCTCTCCAACAAGTCGGGCTTAACTTTTAGTAGTATAATTTAAAATGAATAAACATTATTTCACTGTGTATCCCCCTGTGCTTTGTCCTGATGTACACGTGACTCATGACGCTAACTTATAGCAACTCGCCTGAGGATGTACATGAGCACACTCGCTGACCTCTGACCCCTGTGTGTTGTACATGTTGAACACTCGCTGACCTCTGACCCCTGTGTGCAGTGCATGTTGAACACTCGCTGACCTCTGACCCCTGTGTGCAGTGCATGTTGAACACTCGCTGACTTCTGACCCCTGTGTGCAGTACATGTTGAACACTCGCTGACCTCTGTGTGCAGTACATGTTGAACACTCGCTGACCTCTGACCCCTGTGTACAGTGGTAGCCGGTCCTCAGAGCAGCAGCTGACCTCTCAGGCAGAGCTGCTCTCCTCTTCCTCTTCCTCTTTGGCCTCTTCGCTCCGACACAACACAGACGACCAGCTCCAGACTCTGGACGAGCTGACGGCCAACTGCGACCACGTGCACGCCGCAGTCTCCGGTGAGAACGCGGTTAGGTCCATGCTGTACCAGGCTTTCACAGAAGGCTGTTTATGCTTTTGTGCTGATTAGTTATTTTGAACTATTACTGGTTAAAACTGAGTAGAAACTTCTGTGATGTCACCTGCGGTTCTTTCGCTCTATTCTTCCATGTTCCTCCTTTAGTTTGTTACAAATCTTCACACACTCCTCGGGACGCTTAATGACTCTTTAATAGATGGATAAATACTTTATTGATCCCCCATAGGAGAAATTCAGGAATCTGCGTGACTTCTACAACGAAACGATATGTTTTCTATTCTTCCTTGTTCTGAGACTTTATGTTAAATATATTGTTATAAAGAAGCAGCAGAGTGTGTGACGCTGACGTTCCTCTGGTCCTGAGCAGGTCTGGTGCAGAGGGACCTGCGGTGGGTCTCCAGGACCCGGGACCAGGCTCACACCAAGGCCCAGGAGCAGATGAGTCTCCAGGACGGCCTCTCCACAGACGTCCTGGATCTACAGCAGGTAAAGACTGCATCAGCACATGTCCCTTTAGCACCGAGCGAAACTGTTATTTTACTGTGAGCTGAGTGTTGTGACTCGGATTTATAATGTATTAATACATCTTTATGAAAATGTGCTATACAGATAAAGTGTTTACAAAGAGCTGCAGTCATGATATAAAGTCAAAATAATAAACAATAGATTCAGAAGACACAGTGGAACCAGTTTAATCGTATGTAATGTTGTGTAAACGTATTTACATGTTATATACATATGTTACATACATGATACATTCATATGTTACACACATGATACATTCATATGTTACACACATGATACATTCATATGTTACACACATGATACATTCATATGTTACATACATGATACATTCATATGTTACATACATGATACATTCATATGTTACATACATGATACATTCATATGTTACACACATGATACATTCATATGTTACATACATGATACATTCATATGTTACACACATGATACATTCATATGTTACATACATGATACATTCATATGTTACACACATGATACATTCATATGTTACATACATGATACATTCATATGTTACACACATGATACATTCATATGTTACACACATGATACATTCATATGTTACACACATGATACATTCATATGTTACACACATGATACATTCATATGTTACACACATGATACATTCATATGTTACACACATGATACATTCATATGTTACACACATGATACATTCATATGAAGTGTAGATTTGAAGTCTGTTTGTTCTGAATCAAACATAAATGGGTCTTTTTGAAACAGTTTTTCATCCTGTTTTAGGATGTATTAATTATAATTTTAATTAAAAAGACCAGCGCTCCTGCAGTAAGTGATTAAAATGAGGACAATGATCTGAAAATGACACTAGTTTAAAAACATACAGTATTATTTACTTCTGAAACACTTAGAAGTGTCTGAGCAGTGAGTTTTAAAGCTTGTTTTAATTTCACAAATTATTGGACAAACCCTGCATAAGGTCTTTAAGTTTATGAAGTATAATTATCTTAAAACTAAAATCTTTTTACAAACTACATTCAACAAAAAACTTATTTTTGTTAAATAAATCTGACCCAGATGTGACTTTTCAGTTTGATCCAACACTCGCTGAAGTGTGGCCCAAATATCACGACTGTTGAACCGTCAGTTTGACCTGTTCCCAGCCGTACTGAATGGGAATCACCTCCTCCTCTGCGCCTCCTCTTCCTCCTCTGCTCCTCCTCCCCCGCCCACGGCACCGTGCAGTGGATAGCACTCTCGCCTCTCAGCAAGAAGGTCCTGGGTTCGAATCCCGGTCGGACCAGGGCCTTTCTGAGTGGAGTTTGCATGTTCTCCCCGTGTCTGCGTAGGTTTCCTCCGGGTACTCCGGTTTCCCCTACCACTAAAAATATGTCCAATAGTTCTGGCATGTGCCTCCTGTACTGGCCCCGCTCCCATCTCGGTGTGGAGTGAGAAACAAATGCCCATAATTAACAATTGTAAACCGCTTTGAGACTCTGGTCTGCAGTGAAAAGGCGGTATATAAATAAAAACTTACTTACTTACTCCTCCTCCTCTGCTCACTCTGGTCCCTGTGTGTTTTCAGAGTGTGGAGGCCGTGTGCTTGCAGCAGGAGTCCAGCTCAGAGCGGCTCCGGTCTGAGTCGCAGCAGGTGAGCGACTCCCTGAGAGCCCTGCAGAGCCTGATGAAGGAGCAGCAGGAGGTCGTGCAGCAGCAGGAGGTGGAGCTGCAGCAGGAGGTGCAGAGCAGTGAGAGGCTGGTGACCGGCTTCATCCACGAGGAGCTGCAGCAGGACGTCTCCACAGGTGAGAACTTCAACTTCAAAACTTCTGTATCGTCCTAAATCAGACTTTACACAACTGATGATTCACCGATCAGAGAATCAGTGTTTAGGTCTGCATTACTGCTACTGCAACTACTGAGACTACTGCTGAGACTACTGCTGAGACTACTGCTGAGACTACTGCTGAGACTGCTGCTGAGACTACTGCTGAGACTACTGCTGAGACTACTGCTGAGACTACTGCTGAGACTACTGCTGAGACTACTGCTGAGGCTGCTGCTGAGACTACTGCTGAGACTACTGCTGAGACTACTGCTGAGACTACTGCTGAGACTACTGCTGAGACTACTGCTGAGACTACTGCTGAGACTACTGCTGAGACTACTGCTGAGACTACTGCTGAGACTACTGCTGAGACTACTGCTGAGACTACTGCTGAGACTACTGCTGAGACTGCTGCTGAGACTACTGCTGAGGCTGCTGCTGAGACTACTGCTGAGACTGCTGCTGAGGCTGCTGCTGAGACTGCTGCTGAGGCTGCTGCTGAGGCTGCTGCTGAGGCTGCTGCTGAGACTACTGCTGAGACTACTGCTGAGACTACTGCTGAGACTACTGTTGAGACTACTGCTGAGACTACTGCTGAGACTACTGCTGAGACTACTGCTGAGACTACTGCTGAGACTGCTGCTGAGACTGCTGCTGAGGCTGCTGCTGAGGCTGCTGCTGAGACTGCTGCTGAGACTACTGCTGAGACTACTGCTGAGACTACTGCTGAGACTACTGCTGAGACTGCTGCTGAGGCTGCTGCTGAGGCTGCTGCTGAGGCTACTGCTGAGACTACTGCTGAGACTACTGCTGAGACTACTGCTGCCATTACTGCTCCTAGAGCCATACAAAAGTATTGGGTAATTCCCTTTCTGGGTACACCCCCACCTGGGGAGTGGGATTGCAGTATGTCAGTGCATGTGCTAATGAACCTTTTGGACCCAACCCCCTGACTGTGACTGACGTGTGTGATCAGGTGCTGTGTCCTGAACCTGCACTTCTCTCCTCAGTGTTTGTCATATCACACAATCTACACATTCTAAAGTGTGTGTGTGTCTTGTGTATCTGTGTATCTGTGTGTGTGTGTGTGTGTGTGTAGGAGCCACGCCTCAGCGCAGGGACTTTGTGTTCCCTCGGGAGCTGGTGAAGGGTCGGAGTCGCTCTGAGCTGTTGGAGAGTCTCCGGAGGGAACAGGAGAGACTGCAGGAGGCTCTGGAAGAGGAGGAGGAGGAGGAGGAAGAGGAGGCCCTAGGCTCAGCAGAACAGGTACAACACACTCATGAGGAGGTCTGTCATGAGGAGGAGGTCTGTGGTCCTGACTCTGACATGGTACAAACCAAGGTTGGAAAATTTGTCTGTTCTAAAATCTATTCTGTAATAGCAGAATAGAAGGTCTCTCTCTCTGGTCTCTCTCTGGTCTCTCTCTGGTCCCTCTCTCTCTTTCTGGTCTCTCTCTGTGGCCTCTCTCTGTGGCCTCTCTCTGTGGTCTCTCTCTGTGGTCTCTCTCTCTGGTCTCTCTCTCTGGTCTCTTCTGGTCTCTCTCTGTGGCCTCTCTCTGTGGCCTCTCTCTGTGGTCTCTCTCTCTGGTCTCTCTCTCTGGTCTCTCTCTCTGGTCTCTCTCTGGTCTCTCTCTGTGGCCTCTCTCTGTGGCCTCTCTCTGTGGCCTCTCTCTCTCTCTGTGGTCTCTCTCTCTGGTCTCTCTCTCTGGTCTCTCTGGTCTTTCTCTCTCTCTCTGTGGCCTCTCTCTGTGGCCTCTCTCTGTGGCTTCTCTCTGGTCTCTCTCTCTCTCTCTGGTCTCTCTCTCTCTCTGGTCTCTCTCTCTCTGGTGTCTCTCTCTGGTCTCTCTCTCTGGTGTCTCTCCCTCTGGTCTCTCTCTCTGGTCTCTCTCTCTCAGGTCTCTCTCACCTTGTGTGTGGCCCCTGTAGGACTCTCTAGAGGACGAGCCCAGCACCTGTAACGACAGCTGTGCCACAGAACCCTCCTTCATCGACGAGAACCTGGTCTTTAACCAGAGCCAGCGGGTCCCGTTCTTTAAGGTGGGACTGGTTTCACTTTTTCAAACGTATGATGTCACATTTAATGAGTTAGAACCACATTATGACAGTCACAGAATGAACCAATCAGTCGATCTTTCCTTTTGGTTTTCATCCACACATCTTGAAATCTTTTCTTCCAATCTATGAAAGTAATTTTAGTCTTTGAGTTAAAACCTTTGAAAGTCCAGATACTTTAAGTGACTTTACTGTGAGCGCTCAGATCCTAAACTTATCAAACCTGCCTCAGGATCAAATGTCTTTTCTTGGTGTTCTTTTCTTTTTATATATTTTTTCCTCCTTATTATTATTAGTTTTCTGTTGCATAAAGAATAGAGCAGCTGTTCCTCACAACATTTCAGCAGAATAAAAGAAAATAGACTCTGGTCACAAACGGCATCTATAAAGATCATAAATAAGAAATGAGCAGAGTAAACAGAAGTGACGATCGCAGAAGGGAAAGTGCCAGTTTTTTACTCCTCCTTGTTTTTCACGGTTGTAGAAAAAGAAGAGCAGTCGTAAAGAGTCGAAGCTTCAGTCTCGGTCTAAAGCGGCAGAGAGCGAGACGCCGCAGACGTCCAGACTCCCGCTGCGCTGCCAGAACTGACCTGTGTTTTAAAACATGTGAATGTTAGACTGAGATCTGTGTTTCACCGTCACTGCCATTTTAAAAAGTCTTATGTACCTTTTGAATAAATGTTTTTAAACCTGAAGTCTGTGAAGTTTCCTTCATCTGTTTGTTTTAGAGCTGAATGTTTATCTCACACATCACCAGCAGAGACTGATGCAGACATGACACTGCTGTATTTATTTATTTATCGCTGTAAATCACAACAGTATCGTCTCGGTTTTCAGCAGAAAATCAAATTGTTTGAAAACTGGGTCGTATAACAGTCTTTGAGCCATGTGTCCATCAGGAGCAGAGTGACCGCTGAAACCACCGCCATTTTTAATCGTGACGTCACATAACGCAAGAATGTCCAACTTTGATATTTACAGTCTGGTACCACCCGGGCAGAGGTCATTTACATTTGCGCGTTACATCCACAAGGTGGCGCTGGTGACTATATTTATTCAACAGCACGTTCACACAAGAATGACTTCGTCACAAACGGTTCCACACGACGTAAAACGAGGAGACAATTATTAATTCCCACTTCTAATATTTAACGACAGCACAAGAGATTCTAGACTTTTCCCAGCATTAGGATTAGTTGGAGGAATCTATTCAAATAATTTATTACATTTCTCATTCTTAGAAATAAAAAACTTAGATTGTCTTTTATTCATTGAAAAGTGATTAACATTTACACTTAACATTAACAAAACACTTACATTTACAGTTTCTGCACGGGTCCAGAACTGTCGCCCCCCCCTTTTTATTTTGACCTAATTTATGTTGTACTTTTTTAAGGCTTTGTCTTTCTGTGTAATATGACGTAAGATACCTGATTTAGTTGTAATATTTGCATGAAATAAAAAACTTAATTGAGAAAACATTCAAAGCGGAACTGTCGCAGTTGCTCCGCCCCCGTACTTCCGGTTCCTGGGGCTGCAGTCTCCGTCAATGACTACACCCAACCCGGACGTGACCGTGACAGCAGCGCTTCGGCTTCTGCTCCTCTTTCTGCTGACATGAAGATTCCCTCGTGTTTTTAACGCGTTAAGACCTCGTTTGTGAAGAAATGACTGGTGTTGGACTCTTCCTGTGTGCTTGTGTCGCACTCTTCTCCCTCTGCGCTGGGACCACGGTCCAAAAGGTCTATTTCGTAGATGACAAACCTTTGGAGCTTCGTCCTCCTGAGACCCAGACCCTCACCAACGTCCTGTGGAAGTTCAGGCAGATCCAGGGCACCACTGTGCTGGTGGCGGAGTGGAACAAAGGCGAAGAGGTGGAGTATTATCCCATCTTTAAAGAGAGCGCACATCTGGACACGGCCACGGGAGTCCTGACCGTGAAGCCCGTGAACGAGAGCCGCGCGGGCGTGTACACCGTGGAAGTCAACCAGAAGCTGCTGGATGTCAACTACGAAGCGACCGTGATCGAGGAGGTCCCTACGCCAAAGGTGTGGATCAAACCGGGCTCCTCTGAGGTCCATCGGAACCTGTCCTGCACCGGGGAAGTGACCAGAGCCGAACCCGTGTCCTACTGGTGGGACATCAACGCCAACAAGACGTGGGTTCAGATGAGCAGCGACATCACTCTGCAGAAGAACGACACCACGCAGAGCATCAAGGAGTTCTCCTGCAAAGTGAGAAACCCTGTGGGGGAGAAGGAGAGCACCCCAGAGCCCAACCCCTTCTTCACCCAGCCCACGGATCGGTCCGGACTGTGGGCCTTGGTGCTGCTGCTGCTGCTGGTGCCCCTAGGTTGGGGGGTTTGGTTCTATAAGGGAGAAGATATCAAAAAAATGTGTTGTCCTGGAGGAGAGGCCCACAGTGAGGCCTACAGTGCAGTGGCCCCCGGAGAAGAGGCCGGCGGAGGAGTGGCGTCTGGGAACGGGGCGACATCAGCGACCCCCACAGGAGTTCAAGTTGAAGCTGAAAATGTCCCACCCACAGGAGTTGAAGCTGAAAATGTCCCACTCAGAGAAGGTGAAGCGTGATTTTAACACAAGATAAAGCTGTATTCGTCCCTCAGTGGAAGTTGCATTGTCAAACTGTCAAGGCAAGTTTATTTCTGTAGCACAGTTCATACACAAGGCAAGAACTCTAAGTACTTAACTAAGCTAGATGGAAACGACCACACCGGCATTAAATCATAAATAATCACAGCACATAAACACAGATAAGATCCTCAGATAAACACAACTGTTAACTTTGTCTGAGTAGAAGCCTGGCTCACATCTTCAGGAAGACTTTAGCTTCATAAATTCTGAAAAGCTGCCTCCCCATGTTTAGTCCTGGCTCCGGGACCAGCAGCACTCCCAGAATTAGTCTGTTACATTTATCTAAAGAACCTTTTTATGGACTGAAAACCGCCGCATCTGTTATGGAACTCTGTGGCCTCCAGCGACTCACCTGCTCTCTTTATCAGTGGGACTATTACCTGCCTCCATGTGGTGTGGTAATGATCATCTCTGCTGCGGCTGCTGTCGGAGGCGCTATCAGACTGTACAACGAACACCCGCTTGGTTTGAACACAACAATTGAGGAATTTTGAACTCAAAGTCAGGTTCAGGGAGTTGGAGTGAAGCGCTGCAGGAGACCAGGTCAAATCTGTGTTTTTAATCTGGGGGACATTCCAGTGTTGCATCGCAAGAACAGCAGGAAAGAGGAGCCCACAGCACGAGATAAGTCAATATTAAGTATAGTAAAACTTGAGACACAAATTTTATATTTTTTAAACAAAATGTAAAAAACGCTAAACTTTACACTCTAGTGCAATGAATTGTCTACATCTGGTGATTAATTTAAGTAATGAGCTATAAGAAAATAATGGAGAAAGATAAGATTATATTGATCTCACAATGGAGAAATATACACTAATAAATGTGTAAGGAGGTGGGAGCTCCCTGAGGATTTAAGGTCCTGTTGAGACTGAGACGCTGCAACGCTATTAACAAAACACAACCAGGCTCTGTATTTGAAATGTTTACATGACGACGGATAACAATGTAGTTCTAGCGACTGGCCAGTAGGGGGTGCATGCGACCCCCAGCAGTAGAACCACTTCCTCAACAACATCCTCCTCAGGCCAAAGACGGGAAAGAACCAACACCATTCTGCATTTAACAGCAGCAGTGAAAATGGAGAGTGAAACTACAGAGGCCAGAGAGAGAGAGCGAGAGGCCAGAGAGCGAGAGGCCAGAGAGAGAGAGCGAGAGGCCAGAGAGAGAGAGAGCGAGAAGTGGAATCGTCCAATAGCGAAGCACACGTAGCATTAGCCAACCCGCCGCCATTGTTGTTTACGTTCTACCGTGTCCAAATGTACGTGCAGTTTCTCACCGCTTGTGTTTTCACCTGAAACTCCGTCTCCGTGTAAACAAAAGGCCAAACCGATACCAGCTCTAACATTTTTCTGTCGCAGCGTCTCCGTGTAAACAGCATCTTTAGATTTGATCTTAATAAACCTCGGCAGCGTGTATCTGCCTGCGGCGGCGTGTATCTGACTGCGGCGGCGTGTATCTGCCTGCGGCGGCGTGTATCTGACTGCGGCGGCGTGTATCTGCCTGCGGCGGCGTGTATCTGACTGCGGCGGCGTGTATCTGACTGCGGCGGCGTGTATCTGCCTGCGGCGGCGTGTATCTGACTGCGGCGGCGTGTATCTGCCTGCGGCGGCGTGTATCTGCCTGCGGCGGCGTGTATCTGCCTGCGGCGGCGTGTATCTGCCTGCGGCGGCGTGTATCTGCTTGCGGCGGCGTGTACGCACCAGCAACAACACTGCCAATCATTCAAACACACACAGACCCTGCACTGATCAAACTGTGAGAACTATTAGATACATTCTGAGTTGTGCAATGCTGAATGATTGTATTTATTTGGAGTCAGATTTTAACTTTGACCTTATTGCACATTGTGGGTTTATTATGAGGTTTTTCTGCAGAGTTTAGAATCTCAGACGAATGTTTAACTATTGAGTGTAAATGCCATGAATTCTCTTTGTATCAAACATTGTACACTGTGATATTTTTTAAAGATTGACCAGCAGATTTAGACTTTTCAATTACATTTATTTGTGTCAAATAGTGTCTTAACGACCTTAAAGATCTAAATGTAAAGCTGGGGTCCCTGATCAGGCCACGGCCCCTCAGTAGAAAACACATCCTGTGCTGGTTGGTCTGAAGGTGCTCCTCTGTACAGACTCTACCTGTGACTCTTACTGCACTTCTCACTTCTATTGTTAACGTTTGAAAGTCAGGGACCTCAGCTTTAATGGCATTCTCAAGGTGCTGCTGCTGCGGTGCTGCTGCTGCGGTGGTTCTGCTGCTGCGGTGCTGCTGCGGTGCTGCCGGACCTGCAGCTTCCTGTACTGATGTAATAATGGTTTTGTATAATGTTTAGTCATTTTTCTGATGAAACACTGTTCGAACATTGGTATAAAAATGGAAATGGAATTTCTCGTTGAATTTTTAAGTGTTTCGAAAGCTTCAAGTGCCTTAAATTAAAACAAGAAGTGATTTTTTACTTGGTTTAGTCGATGGACCTTTGTACTGTTTTTGCAGAGATTTGTATTAGATATTTAATAAATGTAAACTCCTCAGCTCTGGGTGAGAGAACTTTACTTCTTTGTCTCATTATTATTGTTATTTATTTAAATCGTGCCTTTCACAGACCTTTCTGTCATGTTCACCACGACAGACTGAAGCCATTTTGTTCACTGCAAAAAGTGATGATGAAAAAAGTAGAAGAAAGTGTCTTAATTTGAGCACTTTGTGACTGAGCCTAAAAACAAGAATCCCGAATCCCACCTGGGACCAAACGATCTTGTTTTTTAAAGAAATTATAAATTAAAAACAGTTCTTGAAATAAGACCTTGTTTTAAGTCAGAACTCATATTAAGATAAAACACTTGGTTCCTGCAAATATGACCTTAATTTAAAAAAAAAAATTGCTGTTATTTTAAAAATAGAAAAGTTCAAAAAATACAGATATTCCGCACACACACATGCACGCACACGCACACACGCACACGCACACGCACACACACAGGGCAGCTTGAGACTGAAGTTTCCCCTGTGAATTAAGGCTTCTGATTGGTCAATACTTTCAGATAGATACTTTATTGTTCCCTGTTGGAGAAATGCAGTTGTCCAGCAGCAGCAGAAGCACATCCATCCAAACAAACAAATCATTCTAAAAAGCTAACAATAGTAATAGTAATATAATAATAATAGTAAGAAGAAGAAACAGTACTTCAGGCCACAGCAGCGGGCTCATATCTGGATTCACAAAGACAATACCACATTATACACATTATACACATTATACACATTATACACATTATACACACTCGGATCACAGAAGCATTAAACCACAGATTTAAGCCCAAACAGATGAGTGTGACACAGACAGTTTACTGTGAGTCAATAGGAGCCAGAGTCTGTGTACAGCACATGGTACGAACTAGACAGAACCAAACTGTCCATTGTCTGAGGGTTGAAAGTTACACACCCCAGCTTTAACACTCCCAGAAGTATGAAACTATTAGAACTCCCAGAGCCGTCATTCTGAGAAATTGCCCCAAAACGTGTATTTTTTTGACAGATGTATTAAAAGTAAGTAATTATTTTTTGATAAAGTGAATACAGGCAAAAAGCAGTGTGTTAAAAAACTACCGAACGTTAGTAACTCAGTGTTGCTATGGTAACTAGTACTGCTTCTACTCAGGAAGGTGCTCTTATTTGTCAAAGATAATTTAATTATAAAAAGACATCTAAATAAACTACATACAGAGATAGAAAAAGACACACAGTTATGAAGACCAAAAATGTACAAACGTTAAGTAATTAGTAATTACACTTACGGGAGTTTTCCTAACTTAGTGACGAAAGCGGAAGTGCCTGGTTGTTTACCTTCGGGGAGGATCACGGGGAGGATGCTGCGCTAACCCGCGGAGGAGCACTCGTCCTGGGCTTCCTCTGCCCAGTGCTCCCCATGCTGTGCCCGGGATGGATCTAGAGCAGGCTCTGCAGGAGGTCGGGGAGTTCGGGCCGTACCAGAAGCAGGCTGTGGCCATCCTGGTCCTGACCCAGGTGAGAGCTGCAGGCTCTGAGCTAACAGCTAACGGCTAACGGCTAACGGCTAACAGCTAACGGCTAACGGCTAACGGCTAACAGCTAACGGCTAACGGCTAACGGCTAACACTACGTGGCTTTGAGGAGGTCTGAGACTGAACATAAAGTAACTTTCTGTGTGTTCTTGAGATTACAGCTACATGAGGCACATTAGAAGCACTGATGGGTTAATGATATTAATGAGTTACTTTTAAACATAATCCATCATGTTTTACTGTTTTTTCAAAGTAATGTGTTTCTACAATAATACTGTCTCTGATAAAGTATTACACTACTGGATTACTTTGAAGTTACTTTTCCCATTATATAGATACAAACTAAATGTAGTTTAAGATATAATGTAGTTTATGATATATATGTATGTATATTATATATGTATGTGTGTGTATATACTGTATCTCTATGTGTATATTTCTGTATGTACGTATGTGTACCTGTATGTATATATACATATGTATGTATGTACAGTATAGACCAAAAGTTTGGACACGCCTCATTCAAAGACTTTTTCTTTATTTTCATGATTATGAAAACTGTAGACTGACACTGAGGGCATCAAACCTATGATGAACTCATGTGAATGATACTAAAAAACGTAGTAAAAAAGTATGAACCAAGTGTAAATATGTGTTATATTCTGGTTCTTCAAAGTAGAACCTTTTGCTCTGATCCTGCTTCACTCTTGGCATTCTCTGGATGAGCTTCAACAGGACCTGAAATGGTCTCCAACAGTCTGGAAGGAGTTCCCATGATGCTTAGCACTTGTTGGCCCCTTCACTCTGTGGTCCAGCCCCAAAACCATCTGGACTGGGTTCAGGTCCAAAACCGTCTGGACTGGGTCCAGGTCCAAAACCATCTTGACTGGGTTCAGTTCCAAAACCATCTGGACTGGGTTCAGGTCCAAAACCATCTTGACTGGGTTCAGTTCCAAAACCATCTGGACTGGGTTCAGGTCCAAAACCATCTGGACTGGGTTCAGGTCCAAAACCATCTGGACTGGGTTCAGGTCCAAAACCATCTGGACTGGGTTCAGGTCCAAAACCATCTGGACTGGGTTCAGGTCCGGTCTCTCTCCTTATTGGTCAAACAGCCCTTACACAGCCTGGTGCGGGTCTACAGCAATAGTCATGAAAAGAACTCAGTGAAGGAGGAGAGTGTCCACACTTTTGGGCTGTACTGTACATGTGTGTAAAAGTGTATGTATGTATATATACGTGTGTGTGTGTGTGTGTGTATATATATATATACATGCTCGAGGTACACACCTGTTGTAGTCATTTTCTAAAGCGAGATATTTGTTTTTGCAAATGAACTCTGTATATTTACATACTAATGTTGTGACTTTGGGAGTGCGATTTACATAGACCTGTGTAATTTATATATATATATATATATATATTAGGTAATCAATTATTCTATAGAATACACCGATCGATTAATCGAGTAATCAGGAACAAAAACATATTTTTGCCCAATTAAAAATATACAATGTCAAATAAAAACTATTTAATAATGACAACTGTATACAATGTTTAAATTGTATAAAGGGATAAATATCTGACGCAAACACGTTACACACAAAGAATCCGTTCAAAATGCTGCAAATAAACTACATACATACGAAACATAGAGGTGTGTATAACTTAAATAAACTAGTGTATAGAAACATGTGTATAACTTAAATAAACTAGTGTATAGAAACATGTGTATAACTTGAATAAACATGTGTATAGATGGAGGCTGTCTAACCATCTGCAGATTAAACATCAGAGTCTGAGGCCGTTTGCTTTTCTGATGTTTACGTTTGTCTGTGGTCAGTTGGTCAGTGCTGGTCAGGGAGACCACACCGCAGCCTCAGGGCGGTCGTCGTTTACTACTGTAGCCATAGCTGCCCTGGGGCAGTATGACTCATTCAGGCTCACTTACAAAGAACAAACTGTTCTGAACTCCAGGCTACAAGAAAAACAGTTTATATGGAGTCTGCAGAACAACTGTCCTGATGTCACACTCTGCAGGGAGATACAGTACATACACACTTACATACAGTGCCTTGCCAAAGTATTCGGCCCCCTTGAACCTTTCAACATTTCGCCACATTTCAGGCTTCAAACATAAAGATATAAAAACTGACGATGTGCAAATCTATCAGTTTTGCACATCGAGAGACTGGAATTCTTGCCCATTCTTCCTTGCAAAACAGCTGGAGCTCAGTGAGGTTGGATGGAGAGCGTTTGTGAACAGCAGTCTTCAGCTCTTTCCACAGATTCTCGATTGGATTCAGGTCTGGACTTTGACTTGGCCATTCTAACACCTGGATACGTCTATTTGTGAACCATTCCATTGTAGATTTGGCTTTATGTTTTGGATCATTGTCCTGTTGGAAGATAAATCTCCGTCCCAGTCTCAGGTCTTTTGCCGACTCCAACAGGTTTTCTTCCAGAATGGTCCTGTATTTGGCTCCATCCATCTTCCCATCAGTTTTAGCCATCTTCCCTGTCCCTGCTGAAGAAAAGCAGGCCCAAAGCATGATGCTGCCACCCCCATGTTTGACAGCGGGGATGGTGTGTTCAGGGTGATGAGCTGTGTTGCTTTTACGCCAAACATATCGTTTTGCATTGTGGCCAAAAAGTTTGATTTTGGTTTCATCTGACCAGAGCACCTTCTTCCACATGTTTGGTGTGTCTCCCAGGTGGCTTGTGGCAAACTTTAAACGAGACTTTTTATGGATATCTTTGAGAAATGGCTTTCTTCTTGCCACTCTTCCATAAAGGCCAGATTTGTGCAGTGCACGACTGATTGTTGTCCTATGGACAGACTCTCCCACCTCAGCTGTAGTTATCTGCAGTTCATCCAGAGTGATCATGGGCCTCTTGGCTGCATCTCTGATCAGTCTTCTCCTTGTTTGAGATGAAAGTTTGGAGGGACGGCCGGGTCTTGGTAGATTTGCAGTGGTCTGATACTCCTTCCATTTCAATATAATTGCTTGCACAGTGCTCCTTGAGATGTTTAAAGCTTGGGAAATCTTTTTGTATCCAAATCCGGCTTTAAACTTCTCCACAACAGTATCTCGGACCTGCCTGGTGTGTTCCTTTGTCTTCATGGTTCTCTCTGTGCTTTAAACAGAACCCTGAGACTATCAAAGAGCAGGTGCATTTATACGGAGACTTGATTACACACAGGTGCATTCTATTTATCATCATCAGTCATTTAGGACAACATTGGATCATTCAAAGATCCTCACTGAACTTCTGGACTGAGTTTGCTGCACTGAAAGTAAAGGGGCCGAATAATATTGCATGTCCCACTTTTCAGTTTTTTATTTGTTAAAGTTTAAATTATCCAATAAATTTCGTTCCACTTCACGATTGTGTCCTACTTGTTGTTGATTCATGACAAAAAATTAAAATGTTATATCTTTATGTTTGAAGACTAAAATGTGGCAAAATGTTGAAAGGTTCAAGGGGGCCGAATACTTTCGCACTGTACATACACACACACACACACATACACAATACATACATACACACATACATACATACATATATACATGCATTTATTCATACATTCATATATACATGCATACATGCATTTATTCATACACGCATACACAATACATACATACACACATACACGCATACACACATGCATACATACTCTCTGTTGTGTCTGATGTTGTGTCTGTTGTGCATCTCTCAGGTGTATATGGCCTATCAGTCCATGCTGATCGTCCTGTTGTGTGTCTGTTGTGCGTCTCTCAGGTGTATATGGCCTATCAGTCCATGCTGATCGTCCTGTTGTGTGTCTGTTGTGCGTCTCTCAGGTGTATATGGCCTGTCAGTCCATGCTGATCGTCCTGTTGTGTGTCTGTTGTGCGTCTCTCAGGTGTATATGGCCTGTCAGTCCATGCTGATCGTCCTGTTGTGTGTCTGTTGTGCGTCTCTCAGGTGTATATGGCCTGTCAGTCCATGCTGATCGTTCTGGTGGGTACGACTCCTTCGTACCATGTGACCGCGGTGCAGGACGACCCCTCCCCCTCCCCCCCGAGGGTTGTCTTCACCGAGGACGTGGACAGTATTGTGACAGAGGTGAGTGACCCCTGCCCTCTGACCCCTGCCCTCTGACCTCTGACCCCTGACCCCTGCCCTCTGCCCTCCCTCAGTGGGTCCTGGTGCAGCAGCAGGCCTATAAGGTGAGCCTGGCTGGGTCTCTGTTCTTCGCTGGTCTGCTGCTCGGGAACATCATCTTTGGACCTCTGTCGGACACCGTGGGCAGGAGGCCGGTCTATCTGACGGGTAAAGAACCAAACCTCTACTTTCATCTCAGCAGAAGGTTCTGTGTTTGATTTAGGGATGTAAATCGGTGACCATTTAACCGGTGGTTGACCGTCAAAGTGTTGACCGGTCAAAGCTGTCGGTTAAAAAAAAGAAAAAGGGGAGAGGGGACGTCTCTTAATAACGCTGTTTTAAGCCCTATTTGCACGGTGTGACGAGCGGGTCCGTCTCTAGCTGTGTGCGCCAATGTATCAGTAAACTCCGGGCCGACTTTCATGTTGCACGCGCCACATATGCACGCACACACACACACATGCACACGCACGCGCCCACACACACACACACACACACATTTCCTCCCCTCCATTGATACGTAACATCCACAGTTCATTTCTCCCCTCTGTTACTAGTTCGCCAAAATTGCACACTGGTGCAGGTCAGAACTACATTGGAGCTTACATTTACACACACATACGTACACACATACACACACACACACACACACATACATGTACACACACACACACACATACCGGTCTGTCACGCTCCTGTGTCACGGAGCCCAAAGGATCCTCTCAAATACACGGCTCCAGTCAAACACATGAAACATGTTTGTGCTGCTGGTCCTTGTCATCAGATCAGCTCCACACACTTCACTTTATTTAAACTTTAGCAGAGACCTCGCTGCTCTGACCATGTGGATGAGCCGTCTTTTGCAGCTAAAATGCTTTAACCTGCAGCACAGCAGAATGGGAAGATTAAAACAACAGTTCTCTGTGCGCAAAGGTGCCGAAGCTGTTGCGGGTTTTGGCGCCGCTGTCTCGGCTCTGATCCAGTAGAACGCAGAGCTGCACTTATGAGAAGTACGCGGCTTGAAATGGCTGTTATTTCAAAGAACCTGGGATATTTTAAACTACGCGGTTAACCGGTTTCAACCGGTTAATGAGGCTCAGTGGTCGGACATGAAAATTCATAGTTTTTTACATCCGTAGTTTGATTCTCTGATCTGTGTGGGAGAATCGGCAGTCCTCAGAGATAAACTACTGCTGTCTGTTCGAAAAAAAGAGAGACCAGAGAGAGAGACCAGAGAGAGAGAGACCAGAGAGAGAGAGACCAGAGAGAGAGAGACCAGAGAGAGAGAGACCAGAGAGAGAGAGACCAGAGAGAGAGAGACCAGAGAGAGAGAGACCAGAGAGAGAGAGACCAGAGAGAGAGAGACCAGAGAGCGAGAGACCAGAGGGCGAGAGACCAGAGGGCGAGAGACCAGAGGGCGAGAGACCAGAGGGCGAGAGACCAGAGGGCGAGAGACCAGAGGGCGAGAGACCAGAGGGCGAGAGACCAGAGGGCGAGAGACCAGAGGGCGAGAGACCAGAGGGCGAGAGACCAGAGGGCGAGAGACCAGAGGGCGAGAGACCAGAGGGCGAGAGACCAGAGAGAGAGAGACCAGAGAGAGAGAGACCAGAGGGCGAGAGACCAAGAATAACAAACTGAACTACATTTCATTGTGTACTAACCATGTGTGCTGTGTCCAGGGCTGTTCCTGGACACAGCACACATGGTTAGTAAACGTTTCATTGTGTACTAACCATGTGTGGTGTGTCCAGGGCTGCTCCTGGAGGTGATCTTCGGGTACCTGACGGCGTTCGCTCCCAGTTATGAGGTGTTCGCGGCCTCTCGTCTGCTGGTGGGTCTGACCAACGGAGGCATCGGTCTGGTCTGCTTCGTGCTCACACAGGAGTATGTGGGCAAGTCCTACTGGGCCATGACCGGTACTGCACCTGCTCCTAGTACTATTATTAATACTGTTATTAATACTGTTATTAATACTGTTATTATTACTATGATTAAGATGGGTGTGGATGCTGGAGGGTGTAAGCACAGCTGATGATCCGGGACAGAGACTTTATACTTTATTCATCCCACAGATAGCATCATAAAGAAGAAAGTATCTCTTCATCTTCATTTGACAAAACGTCTCTCTCCTTCCCCTCTCTCCTCTCTCTCTCTCTGTCTCTCTCTCTCTCTGTCTCTCTCCTCTCTCTCTCTCCTTCTCCTCTCTCCTCTCTCTCCTCTCTCTCTCGCTCCTCTTCTCTCTCTCTCTCTCTCTCTCCTTCTCCACTCTCCTTTCTCCTCTCTCTCTCTCTCTCCTCCCCCCTCTCTCGCTTTGACTATCCTCTCTCCTCTCTCTCTCTCCTTCCCTTCTCTCTCCTCTCTCCCCCCCTCTCTACTCTCTCTCTCCTCTCTCTTTCCTCTCTCCTCTCTCCCTCCTCTTTCTCTCCTCTCTCTCCTCCCCCCCCCCCCCCTCTCTCTCTCTCTCCTCTCCTCTCTCCTTTCTCCTCTCTCTCTCTCTCCTTCCCTTCTCTCTCTCCTCTCCTCTCTCCTCCCTCTCTCCTCTCTCTCTCTGGTGCAGGGACCCTGGGCAGTATGACCTTTGCTGTGGGCATCTCTCTCTTCGGGGCCCTGGGGTTCCTGATCCGTCCCTGGAGGAGTCTGGCTCTCGTTGCGAACTCGTCAGGAGTGCTCTGCCTCCTGCTCTCTGTGTAAGCTCCACACCTCCTCTATCACACTCACGCACTCCAAGACCAGTCCAAGACCAGTCCAAGACAAGTCCAAGACCGGTCCAAGACCAGTCTGGGACGAGACCAAGACCAATGCATGACTAGTGTAGTACCAGTCCAAGACCAGCACCTTGAGAGAATAGTTTTGATTACTGTAGAAAGCAGCTGAAATGGCTTTATTTGTTCAAAGGAAAACTACTCAGTTTTCAACAATAAAAGATTCTTCTCCATAAAAAAAACAAGAAACAAATAAACTACAATAGATCAAAAGAAGTCACAGTGTTATGCAGACTGAAAATGGACCGAGCAGAGCAATAATAGTTAGTTACTGATCCCTGAAGGAGAAACTCAGGTGTGCAGGAGCAGCAAACACACAAATAAATGGATCATTCTAAAAGTATCTAACAATAATATTAAAACACATCAGTCTTTCAGGCCACAGCAGCAGAGACCAGTGTAAAACCATGAATCCTCTCTGCTCTGGTCTGGACCAGTGTAAAACCATGAATCCTCTCTGCTCTGGTCTGGACCAGTGTAAAACCATGAATCCTCTCTGCTCTGGTCTGGACCAGTGTAAAACCATGAATCCTCTCTGCTCTGGTCTGGACCAGTGTAAAACCATGAATCCTCTCTGCTCTGGTCTGGACCAGTGTAAAACCATGAACTCTGAACTGCAGCAACATCTCAGGCAGAAAAAAGAATGAAAAATAACAATTATAAAACACAAAACGACAGTTTCAGAGACACTTTGGACTCGCTGCTGTTTCCAGAACATTCTAAAGTAAGAAACAGAAGTGGACCTTGAACATCAGTGGTTCTGCCTCAGCTGCAGTGACTGGACCTTGAACATCAGTGGTTCTGCCTCAGCTGCAGTGACTGGACCTTGAACATCAGTGGTTCTGCCTCAGCTGCAGTGACTGGACCTTGAACATCAGTGGTTCTGCCTCAGCCGCAGTGACTGGACCTTGAACATCAGTGGTTCTGCCTCAGCTGCAGTGACTGGACCTTGAACATCAGTGGTTCTGCCTCAGCTGCAGTGACTGGACCTTGAACATCAGTGGTTCTGCCTCAGCTGCAGTGACTGGACCTTGAACATCAGTGGTTCTGCCTCAGCTGCAGTGACTGGACCTTGAACATCAGTGGTTCTGCCTCAGCTGCAGTGACTGGACCTGCCTGATGAATGTAGCAGTCGTTTGTTTCTTGTGTGATCTTTGTCTCTGATGGTTCTGATGACGTCACAGTTACAGCGTCTACATCAGAAAAACGTGTGTGTTTTTACAGGACGCTCCCAGAGTCTCCTCGATGGCTGTACTCCCAGGGCCGAACCGAGGAGGCGGAGGAGGTGAGGCTCACTCTGCTCCTCTCACTCTGCTCCTCTCACTCTGCTCCTCTCATTCTGCTCCTCTCATTCTGCTCCTCTCACTCTGCTCCTCTCACTCTGCTCCTCTCACTCTGCTCCCCTCACTCTGCTCCTCTCACTCTGCTGCTCTCACTCACCCTGCTCCTCTCACCCTGCTCTTACTCTGCTCCTCTCACTCTGCTCCTCTCACCCTGCTCCTCTCACTCTGCTCCTCTCACTCTGCTCCTCTCACTCTGCTCCTCTCACTCTGCTCCCCTCACTCTGCTCCTCTCACTCTGCTCCTCTCACTCTGCTCCTCTCACTCTGCTCCTCTCACTCTGCTCCTCTCACCCTGCTCCTCTCACTCTGCTCCTCTCACCCTGCTCCTCTCACTCTGCTCCTCTCACTCTGCTCCTCTCACTCTGCTCCTCTCACTCTGCTCCTCTCACTCTGCTCCTCTCACCCTGCTCCTCTCACTCTGCTCCTCTCACTCTGCTCCTCTCACTCTGCTCCCCTCACTCTGCTCCCCTCACTCTGCTCCTCTCACTCTGCTCCTCTCACCCTGCTCCTCTCACCCTGCTCCTCTCACCCTGCTGCTCTCACTCTGCTCCTCTCACTCTGCTCCTCTCACTCTGCTCCTCTCACTCTGCTCCTCTCACCCTGCTCCTCTCACTCTGCTCCTCTCACTTTGCTCCTCTCACTCTGCTCCTCTCACTCTGCTGCTGCTCTCACCCTGCTCCTCTCACTCTGCTCCTCTCACTCTGCTCCTCTCACCCTGCTCCTCTCACTCTGCTCCTCTCACTCTGCTGCTGCTCTCACCCTGCTCCTCTCACTCTGCTCCTCTCACTCTGCTCCTCTCACCCTGCTCCTCTCACTCTGCTCCTCTCACTCTGCTCCTCTCACTTTGCTCCTCTCACCCTGCTCCTCTCACCCTGCTCCTCTCACTCTGCTCCTCTCACTCTGCTCCTCTCACTCTGCTCCTCTCACTCTGCTCCTCTCACTCTGCTCCTCTCACTCTCTCTCACTGCTCCTCTCACTCTGCTGCTCCTCTCACTCTGCTGCTGCTCTCACTCTGCTCCTCTCACTCTGCTCCCCTCACTCTGCTCCTCTCACTCTGCTCCTCTCACTCTGCTCCTCTCACTCTGCTGCTCCTCTCACTCTGCTCCTCTCACTCTGCTCCTCTCACCCTGTTCCTCTCACTCTGCTCCTCTCACTCTGCTCCCCTCACTCTGCTCCCCTCACTCTGCTCCCCTCACTCTGCTCCTCTCACTCTGCTCCCCTCACTCTGCTCCTCTCACTCTGCTCCTCTCACTTTGCTCCTCTCACTCTGCTCCTCTCACTCTGCTGCTGCTCTCACTCTGCTCCTCTCACTCTGCTCCTCTCACTCTATTCCTCTCACTCTGCTCTTCTCACTCTGCTCCTCTCACTCTGCTCCTCTCACTCTATTCCTCTCACTCTGCTCCTCTCACTCTGCTCCTCTCACTCTGCTCCTCTCACTCTGCTCCTCTCACCCTGCTCCTCTCACCCTGCTCCTCTCACCCTGCTCCTCTCACTCTGCTCCTCTCACTCTGCTCCTCCCACTCTGCTCCCCTCACTCTGCTCCTCTCACTCTGCTCCTCTCACTCTGCTCCTCTCACTTTGCTCCTCTCACTCTGCTCCCCTCACTCTGCTCCTCTCACTCTGCTCCTCTCACTCTGCTCCTCTCACTCTATTCCTCTCACTCTGCTCCTCTCACTCTGCTCCCCTCACTCTGCTCCTCTCACTCTGCTCCCCTCACTCTGCTCCTCTCACTCTGCTCCTCTCACTTTGCTCCTCTCACTCTGCTCCCCTCACTCTGCTCCTCTCACTCTGCTCCTCTCACTCTGCTCCTCTCACTCTATTCCTCTCACTCTGCTCCTCTCACTCTGCTCCTCTCACTCTGCTCCTCTCACCCTGCTCCTCTCACCCTGCTCCTCTCACTCTGCTCCTCTCACTCTGCTCCTCCCACTCTGCTCCCCTCACTCTGCTCCTCTCACTCTGCTCCTCTCACTCTGCTCCCCTCACTCTGCTCCTCTCACTCTGCTCCTCTCACTCTGCTCCTCTCACTCTGCTCCTCTCACTCTATTCCTCTCACTCTATTCCTCTCACTCTGCTCCTCTCACTCTGCTCCCCTCACTCTGCTCCTCTCACTCTGCTCCTCTCACTCTGCTCCTCTCACTCTGCTCCTCTCACTCTATTCCTCTCACTCTGCTCCTCTCACTCTGCTCCTCTCACTCTGCTCCTCTCACTCTGCTCCTCTCACCCTGCTCCTCTCACCCTGCTCCTCTCACTCTGCTCCTCTCACTCTGCTCCTCTCACTCTCTGCTCCCCTCACTCTGCTCCTCTCACTCTGCTCCTCTCACTCTGCTCCTCTCACTCTGCTCCCCTCACTCTGCTCCTCTCACTCTGCTCCTCTCACTCTGCTCCTCTCACTCTGCTCCTCTCACTCTATTCCTCTCACTCTGCTCCTCTCACTCTGCTCCTCTCACTCTGCTCCTCTCACTCTGTTCCTCTCACTCTGCTCCTCTCACTCTGCTCCCCTCACTCTGCTCCCCTCACTCTGCTCCTCTCACTCTGCTCCCCTCACTCTGCTCCTCTCACTCTGCTCCTCTCACTCTGCTCCTCTCACTCTGCTCCTCTTACTCTGCTGCTGCTCTCACCCTGCTCCTCTCACTCTGCTCCTCTCACTCTGCTCCTCTCACCCTGCTCCTCTCACCCTGCTCCTCTCACTCTGCTCCTCTCACTTTGCTCCTCTCACTCTGCTCCTCTCACCCTGCTCCTCTCACCCTGCTCCTCTCACTCTGCTCCTCTCACTTTGCTCCTCTCACTCTGCTCCTCTCACTCTGCTGCTCCTCTCACCCTGCTCCTCTCACTCTGCTCCTCTCACTTTGCTCCTCTCACTCTGCTCCTCTCACTCTGCTGCTGCTCTCACCCTGCTCCTCTCACTCTGCTCCTCTCACTCTGCTCCTCTCACCCTGCTCCTCTCACCCTGCTCCTCTTACTCTGCTCCTCTCACTTTGCTCCTCTCACTCTGCTCCTCTCACCCTGCTCCTCTCACCCTGCTCCTCTCACTCTGCTCCTCTCCTCACTTTGCTCCTCTCACTCTGCTCCTCTCACTCTGCTCCTCTCACTTTGCTCCTCTCACTCTGCTCCTCTCACTCTGCTGCTGCTCTCACCCTGCTCCTCTCACCCTGCTCCTCTCACTTTGCTCCTCTCACTCTATTCCTCTCACTCTGCTCCTCTCACTCTGCTCCCCTCACTCTGCTCCTCTCACTCTGCTCCTCTCACTCTGCTGCTGCTCTCACTCTGCTGCTGCTCTCACTCTGCTCCTCTCACCCTGCTCCTCTCACTCTGCTCCTCTCACTTTGCTCCTCTCACTCTGCTCCTCTCACTCTGCTGCTCCTCTCACTCTGCTCCTCTCACTCTGCTCCTCTCACCCTGCTCCTCTCACTCTGCTCCTCTCACTCTGCTCCTCTCACCCTGCTCCTCTCACCCTGCTCCTCTCACTCTGCTCCTCTCACTCTGCTCCTCTCACTCTGCTCCTCTCACTCTGCTCCTCTCACTCTCCTCTTTCACCGTAAAAATTATATATGATTTTAGAATACTACTACTGCTACTTCTACTACGACTACTGCTGCTACTTAAATTAGGCTTCCTGCATTTATTTTTGTATATGTATAATGTTCAACTATTTACATACATGTATATTTTAAATACAATACATAAAATACATTAATGTAAAATAGTACATGATCATCTTAATTTATCCATTTGTTTTTTCAGCAAAAAAGCCTACAAAAACTGAGTGGATTTTCTTTCATAATCATAATAATCATGAATAATCATTAAATCAAAATATTTTCTCTGGTGAAAAGTGAAATCGTGTCGACCTTAATCTGAAACATTGTTCTTTGTTTGAACCATAGTTTGTCATTTCCTGAAAATGAGTCAGTCCTGCTCTCTTCACCTCTAGCTGCTCCTAACCGCTTTCTCATTGCTCAGTTTCCTGTCCGAGAATTCTAAGAAAATATTGAGATGTAGAAGCTCCAGTTCAGTTCAGCACAGTCCAGTTCAGTTCCTATGGTTTATTTTTTTATTTTAGCTCAGAGCAAAACACACACAGAGTTAACAGAGAAGTCTACCATATCGTTCAGATTGTAAGTGGCAGTGTTTGTCACTGTTTGGCCCGGGGTGCGACTTGATTTTTATATTTTATTTACAGTAAACTATCACATAATAGCTCGGGCTTTTAAGTTAAAGATTAAGCTTTTAAGAAGAACCAAAAGAATGAAGACATGTCCCGGTGCTGAACACAAGTGTGCAATTTAGGACTACAGTTTTTGTGTTGCTTTTGTTCCTAATCTACATCAAAACTCAGATAATTGACTCAAGATGAAATGTCTGTTCTTTGTGTTGGATTTTATCAAGTAAATGTCCCCAAATACTTTTAAGCAGCTATCCCTTTATTGCATAGATAAATGTTCTGAGTCATTCATTCATGTTCAGCGCCTGTGTTCAGCGCCTGTGTTCAGCGTCTGTGTTCAGCGTCTGTGTTCAGCGTCTGTGTTCAGCATCTGTGTTCAGCGTCTGTGTTCAGCGTCTGTGTTCAGCGCCTGTGTTCAGCGCCTGTGTTCAGCGTCTGTGTTCAGCGTCTGTGTTCAGCGTCTGTGTTCAGCGTCTGTGTTCAGCGTCTGTGTTCAGCGTCTGTGTTCAGCGTCTGTGTTCAGCGTCTGTGTTCAGCGTCTGTGTTCAGCGTCTGTGTTCAGCGTCTGTGTTCAGCGCCTGTGTTCAGCGTCTGTGTTCAGCGCCTGTCTTCAGCGTCTGTGTTCAGCGTCTGTCTTCAGCGTCTGTGTTCAGCGCCTGTGTTCAGCGTCTGTGTTCAGCGTCTGTGTTCAGCGTCTGTGTTCAGCGTCTGTGTTCAGCGTCTGTGTTCAGCGTCTGTGTTCAGCGTCTGTGTTCAGCGTCTGTGTTCAGCGTCTGTGTTCAGCGTCTGTGTTCAGCGTCTGTGTTCAGCGCCTGTGTTCAGCGTCTGTGTTCAGCGCCTGTGTTCAGCGTCTGTGTTCAGCGCCTGTGTTCAGCGTCTGTGCTCACTGTGGGTGTGTCCACAGGTGCTGCGGTACATGGCGCTGAGGAACGGTCGGCCCGTCCATAACCTGCTGCTGCGGCGTGTAGTGCCCAGAGCCACAGACAGAGGGCGCTCTCCAGGCCTCCTGCAGCTGCTGCTCCACCCAGTGCTGCGCATGCGGACGCTGGTGCTCATGTATGTATGGTGAGTAACATGTTATTACACATGTATGTGTGGTGAGTAACATGTTATTACACATGTATGTGTGGTGAGTAACATGTTATTACACATGTATGTGTGGTGAGTAACATGTTATTACACATGTGTGTGTGGTGAGTAACATGTTATTACACATGTGTGTGTGGTGAGTGACATGTTATTACACATGTATGTGTGGTGAGTAACATGTTATTACACATGTGTGTGTGGTGAGTAACATGTTATTACACATGTATGTGTGGTGAGTAACATGTTATTACACATGTATGTGTGGTGAGTAACATGTTATTACACATGTGTGTGTGGTGAGTGACATGTTATTACACATGTGTGTGTGGTGAGTGACATGTTATTACACATGTGTGTGTGGTGAGTGACATGTTATTACACGTGTGTGTGTGGTGAGTAACATGTTATTACACATGTGTGTGTGGTGAGTAACATGTTATTACAAATGTGTGGTGAGTAACATGTTACTCACCACACGTGTGTGTGGTGAGTAACATGTTATTACACATGTGTGGTGAGTAACATGTTACTCACCACACGTGTGTGTGGTGAGTAACATGTTATTACACATGTGTGTGTGGTGAGTAACATGTTATTACACATGTGTGGTGAGTAACATGTTACTCACCACACGTGTGTGTGGTGAGTAACATGTTATTACACGTGTGTGTGTGGTGAGTAACATGTTATTACACATGTGTGTGTGGTGAGTAACATGTTATTACACATGTGTGTGTGGTGAGTAACATGTTATTACACATGTTGTGGTGAGTAACATGTTACTCACCACACGTGTGTGTGGTGAGTAACATGTTATTACACATGTGTGTGTGGTGAGTAACATGTTATTACACATGTATGTGTGGTGAGTAACATGTTATTACACATGTGTGTGTGGTGAGTAACATGTTATTACACATGTGTGTGTGGTGAGTAACATGTTATTACACATGTGTGTGTGGTGAGTAACATGTTATTACACATGTATGTGTGGTGAGTAACATGTTATTACACATGTGTGTGTGGTGAGTAACATGTTATTACACATGTATGTGTGGTGAGTAACATGTTATTACACATGTGTGTGTGGTGAGTAACATGTTATTACACATGTATGTGTGGTGAGTAACATGTTATTACACATGTGTGTGTGGTGAGTAACATGTTATTACACATGTGTGTGTGGTGAGTAACATGTTATTACACATGTGTGGTGAGTAACATGTTACTCACCACACGTGTGTGTGGTGAGTAACATGTTATTACACATGTGTGTGTGGTGAGTAACATGTTATTACACATGTGTGTGTGGTGAGTAACATGTTATTACACATGTGTGTGGTGAGTAACATGTTATTACACATGTGTGTGGTGAGTAACATGTTATTACACATGTGTCATACAGTCCTAAAATATGTTATAGTGTAAGTTCACTATAAATCCTGTAAGTGACAACAGTGAAAGCAAAATGACGCGTGATTCTGTTAAAATTCTTAAAATGGGTAAAGCTGGACGTGTTTTCATGCAGCTTGTTCTGAGTGGATTCAGTTGCCTTTAAAGAAAAGATAAACCTTTAAAACAGTCATAGTGACTGCTGACAGCTTTCATGCCTGTGTGTGAACCACTCTCAGTATGAGTGCAGCTGTGTCAGATGTCCGTCCCACAGTGGGGACATTTCAGAGACATCTTTGGAAAGATGGACCTGAAAACTCTGTCCATCTAATCTGAAAGAGCCTGAGTTGTTTTGTAAAGAGGAATGGACTAAAGTCTCTGTCTCTAGATGTGCAAATCTTGCAGAGACATTCCTTGATAGACTTGCTGCTGTTACTGCAACAAAAGGAGTTCCACAGTTTTTGAAAATTAACACTTGTATCTTTTTCCTTCACGTCACAGTTGTTTGTCACTTATAAAAATCAACTTAATATATTTTTGTTTATGGTTGTAAACATGACAAAAGGTGCAAAAGTCCAAGCTGTATGAATACTTTTGCAAGGTACTGTAAGTAAAATGTAACCAAAGGACAGACACAAAACTAAAACACAGATTGTCTCTGCAGGAGGAGGATGCTCTGCTCTGACATCGGTGCATATGGAAATGAGTCATGTAAATAAACACACCTCTCTGGATTCGGCTCTAGCTGCCTTTATATCACTCACTTCAGTCTCAAATCTTCCACAAATGCGGCCCAGTGTCATGTTATGTGGTCCTTTGCTCTGGCTTTTTAACTCAAGCAGAAATGTGATGATTGTGGCCCAGTATTTTAGTTTTGTGCTGTATTTTATATGTGTGTTGTGTTGTATTTTGTAAGATCTGGAAATTTTGACATTGACCTTGACCTAAATTTCTCCAATGTGAGATGCAAACAACTGCTAACATTAAGTAGCTACTGAGGTTCTGTCATCCAGGCAACTTCAGCTCCACCAGTAAAGTCATGCTATAGCTTGGTGTAAGGCTCTGAACTTCTTGAATCCACTCGCTAATGTTATTAGCATTTTGTATACTGACATTTGGTGTTGATTGTGTCTCAGAGTTCCACATATGACGCTAATGTAGCCGTGATGTGGATAAATATGGACAGATATAAAGCCCAGAACAGACTCTAGTGAGAACAGTTTGACACCCACGTGGTTCTGAGGCGTGGCTGCAAAAGAACACATGTAAATGACCTCACCGCTGTGGTTTGTGTTAAGTTATTCCCACAGGCAGTCCTCTTTAACCATTGTACAGGAGGAAAAAAACTGTTTGTGGGGAATCGCAGCACCTGGAGGAAACCTGTTTGATTTGTTTATTCAATGTTTAACACTAGTGAAAGTCTTAAGTCATTGTGAACAAAAACTTTAATTACAACTACTTCCATATGTATAAACTTCAGAGCCTGGTTTTGGAGAGAGGGAAGAGAGGGGAGAGATGAGAGAGAGGAGGGAGAAGGGAGAGAGAGAGAGAGAGGAGAGAGAGAGGAGAGAGAGAGGGGAGAGAGAGGAGAGAGGAGAGAGGAGGGAGAAGGGAGAAGGAAGAGAGGGGAGAGGAGAGAGAGAGGAGAGAGAGGAGAGAGAGGGGAGAGAGAGGAGAGAGAGGAGAGAGAGGAGAGAGAGAGAGGAGAGAGAGGGGAGAGAGAGGAGAGAGAGGAGAGAGAGGAGAGAGAGAGGAGAGAGGAGAGAGAGAGAGAGGAGAGAGAGGGGAGAGGGGGCAGAGAGAGAGGAGAGAGAGGGGAGAGGGGGGGAGAGAGAGGAGAGAGAGAGGAGGGAGAGGGAGGAGAGAGAGGGGAGAGGAGAGGGAGGAGGGAGAGAGGAGAGAGAGAGGAGAGAGAGGGGAGAGAGGAGAGAGAGGGGAGAGGGGAGGGGAGAGAGAGGGGAGAGGAGAGAGAGGAGAGTATTCTCAGTATTTCCGTCGCTCTCTCCGGAAGGTTCCTCTAACGGGCTTAAGGTGCAGCCCTAATTACCCCTGACCCCTGACCCCTCAGCCGGACCAATGATTGATCTAAATCTCAGTGGTAATGGCCAGTACAGATGATCCAGAACACTGTACATTCAACATCTGCTCCTCTTGGACCAATGGCTCTGTGTGTTTGTATAATCATCAGTTAATTTGCACTTACACAAGCACAGGCTTCAACTCCTCATTTAAGACTAAAGGTTCTACTTGTCCCGAGTATTGATATAACTGTACATTCATACATACAAACATTTATTTGTTAGTCAAACGAGTAAAGGACAGTGAATCTAATCAAGAGATAAACTGTCTGTTAGCCTCTGAACGCATCTGGGCATTTAGCTGCGCGGCTAAAAAAGAAGTGTGAAGTGCAGCAAAGTCTATAAAAAACTGCCGCTTCCTTCTGCTTCTAATACATTTCTGCAGTTCTGCGTCAGAACTGATGAGCTCAGGCTGGTGTTGGTCAACTCTGAGTCACGTTCATAATAATCCTTCACTGCTTCAAAACAACAAATGAGTTAAAGGAGCAGTGTGTAAACGTGTGGCCCAAAGTGGTACTGCAGCCTCTCCCACTCTCCCTGACTCAGGTTGCCAGATATGCAGACGAATCCAGCTGGGACCATAACAGCTGAATAGACAAGAGTTTTGTCAACAACAAATCTATAACCAACACCTTTTTCACAAAGATAGAAATCCTGGTTTTATTCCTTGTTTTGTCGTTAATGATTTGAGAATCATAACGAGACCTTTTTTAGTTCTGCGCCACATGGTACTTTACCAGTGAGATTAGCTCCACATGGTACTTTACCAGTGAGATTAGCTCCACGCGGTGAGTTCTGGCGCCCGGATCACAGACTTTCTGATTGGTGAAACGGTGGAGGGCGGGAGTGTTCAGCGCCTGTGTTCAGCGTCTGTGTTCAGCGTCTGTGTTCAGCATCTGTGTTCAGCGTCTGTGTTCAGCATCTGTGTTCAGCGTCTGTGTTCAGCGCCTGTGTTCAGCGTCTGTGTTCAGCGTCTGTGTTCAGCGTCTGTGTTCAGCGCCTGTGTTCAGCGTCTGTGTTCAGCGCCTGTGTTCAGCGCCTGTGTTCAGCGTCTGTCTTTCAGCGTCTGTGTTCAGCGCCTGTGTTCAGCGTCTGTGTTCAGCGTCTGTGTTCAGCGTCTGTGTTCAGCGTCTGTGTTCAGCGTCTGTGTTCAGCGTCTGTGTTCAGCGTCTGTGTTCAGCGTCTGTGTTCAGCGTCTGTGTTCAGCGTCTGTGTTCAGCGTCTGTGTTCAGTGCCTGTGTTCAGCGTCTGTGTTCAGCGCCTGTGTTCAGCGTCTGTGTTCAGCGCCTGTGTTTCAGCGTCTGTGCTCACTGTGGGGTGTGTCCACAGGTGCTGCGGTACATGGCGCTGAGGAACGGGTCGGGCCCGTCCATAACCTGCTGCTGCTGCGCGGCGTGTAGTGCCCAGAGCCCACAGACAGAGGGCGCTCTCCCAGGCCTCCTGCAGCTGCTGCTCCACCCAGTGCTGCGCATGCGGACGCTGGTGCTCATGTATGTATGGTGAGTA